TGTGTGAGAATTCAGACAAGTTGAAATAGAAAAATAAATTCGCCAAATGTTTTGACATAATTCTATATTATTGAACGCTGTTTAATTAAATTAGTAAGTTAATCTTAATTCAAATAATTCATTCGATCTTTGGCCATTTTAAGAACCTGCAGTACTTTAGTTTATATTTCGTCAATGTAAATCTTAAACCCGTATTTTTTAACGGGTTCACTAACTAGTCAGGGCCACCGTCACGTGTGCGTCTATTTTTAGCCTCCCCAGTGTTGACAGCTGTAGAGTTCAACCAATGAGAAAAGCAAAACAAACTTCCAACCCACGTTTAATGCTCAGTAAACCACTTTTTCCCTCCCCGTTTTATATCACAGTGGTACAGCAACACCTGCACGGGGATGTAACATTCGTAATTCATTGCTGGGCCTCGTTACGCTTATTTATTTTATGCTACATTCGTCATTCAGCATCGTGGTTCGTGGTTTTTTTTAATTTAATCTATTGAAACGTGTTTTGCTTCATGTCGAATGTAGGAGTGGTGATTGAAAATTTAGATTTTTGACGTTGTGGTAACTTCGTGTTTGTTGGCATTTTGTAAAAAATTTCCCGCTCCACAAAATACATCTGTTAGAGTTTTGATGGTCAGCCATGTTGTGTTCAAAACGAAATATTTTAAACCAGCTCTTATTAATGACGGTTCTCTAACAGTTTTTCATATTTCTTAAACTACCGTGCTAAAAATATCAATTGAATTGTTTCCCCTTTCTTAGTCTCAATGGGATCAGTGTTTCTTCCAGACTTTTTTCTCCGGGGGGGGGGGGGGGGGGCACTTGAAATTTTCGGGGGGGGGGCGGTAGACTTTCTTCGGGGGGGGGGGGGGCGGACACTGTTAAAAGTATATATTTTCTATATATAAATATATAAATTTCATTTCGTTCGGGGGGACGGTAAAAAATTTTCGGGGGGGGGCTAAGCCCCCCCCCCCCCGAAGAGATGCCTGGAAGAAACTCTGAATGGGATATAACCAATAAATAAAATTAATAATTAAAATGAAGTCACACTCGTAGGGGGGAGGGGGGTCCGTAATTTTGTGACGGTGTGTGATGAGTGGGAGGGTAGGGGTTCCGGCTTTTTGTGACTACGTGTGACGGAGGGGAGGGGGGGAGGTAAAAATAGTCCCAAAAAAGCGTGACGTCATTTATGGATGACCCCTTGTACTACTACACAAATCATTGTTAGTCACTTTTTAATACTAAAACTTTAATTAGCCTGTGCGAATGGTTAAGATGAATTCCATCAAACAATTATCGCCACACATCGTTTAACGATTTGTTTCAAACGTCCGAACCAACTAGCATCAACTAAGTGTGACTGTGGCGTCATGTGTGAACGACCCCAGCATCAAAATATAAACATACAGATGTTGGTGGTAGTTCACCCTCCTCCATTGTCGCTAAAATGACAACCATTTCACATGAAGTTACAGCAGCTACCGAATAACCACTCATGTTTGTGTGTTTGTGTATGTGCGTCGCTGATCAGTTGTAATCGACGCTGATAAAAAAAAAATTAGGACTTGAACGTTTTGAGTTTAGATCGCAGGCTCGGGTCTGTGCCTGAGTCCACCCAGCTCTAATGGGTACCTGAATCACATTAGGGATACTAAAGGCGGTTGGGAATAGTGCAGACCACAATATCCCTTAATATGCAGTGGTCGCTGAAACAGGTAGGGGTCGGCGTGGTCGAGTCGGTAAAGCTCATGGTTGCTAAACCGAAAAGTCTCGAGATCGAACCCTCGGGCAGATGAGGCTCGTTAGCTGGGGATAGCCACTCTTCTAGGAGAGACGACTCCAAAATTAAACAACTGCTGCCTTGTAGTTTGTTCTTGGTTGGACAAAGGCTATGGAAGCAAATCCAAAAAGAAAAGCAGGCTGAAATCGGAGTCAATGGCCTATATGGCGCATAACAAGTTGACACGTAACGCTTAATTGTGTTGGAGGCGTGGTCGAGTCGGCAAAAAGCTCATGGTTGATAAATTCGAGTTCAAACCCACTGGCAGATAAATCTCGATCCCCTTCAACACTAATAATTAAGAACGAAGAAGAAGAAGAGCTGAAACAGGTGAACACTACTTCACCTAACCTAAAGGCTGTAATTTTAAAACGGTATCTTTTGTGTTTGCATTGTTTCTGTGTTTGCGTTTTCTTTTGTGCTTGTGTTGTGTTTGTGTTTTGTGTTTATTAAATAAAATTATTTTGACAGTGTAATATTACCTCTCGTTATTAAGAGAAAAATACAAGTGGGTTTCTTTTCTAATATAAAAAAAAATTGTGTTTTTTTAACCCAGTATAAAAAATAATCAGGTCACGGATAATGATTCGTGTGATAATCAGATCAGTGACAACACACATGTAATATTTATAGTCCCTCGTTGAGAATCACTTCCGGTTCACTGAACTATTTCCATCCAGCCGATAAGAATGGAAGCTGGACGGAAGCGGGCTTGTCCTCATTTAGCTCCCAGGCGGGCCATGATTGGATATATACATCCAGCACTGGATAACTATCCAGCACTAAGCCAGTTATGTGTACTGGGTGCAGATGAGATAAAAAGTGTTGTTTGGTTCCACGGAGACAAGTTTCATGTTCCTGTTTGTTAAATAAAACAAACCTTCCACATACATGCAAGATACGCTCTATTTGCTCAGATCAATGCTGTAAGGAGTGTTTTCAGCAGCCAATAAATGCGGTGATGAAATTAGTACCAAATAGAGGCCGATATGTAGAACCATAAAATCAGCACCAGAGGCCGCGATATGAAGAACCATAAAATCAGCACCAGAGGCCGATATGGGGTCGTCCATAAATGACGTCACACTCGTAGGGTGGAGGGGGGGGGGTCCGTAATTTTGTGACGGTGTGTGATGAGGGGGAGGGGGGGGGGTGTTCAGATGGTGTGACGTCACTTTTTTTGCATTATAAAAAAGCATTGTTAGAAAACGAGTTTTAGCCGTCATTTCGCGTTTTAGAAAACGGTTTTAATAAATTATAATAGGAATTGATCAAAATATTCTATGTTGACAGAATTCAGACAAGATTTTGGAAAAACATGGGGTGGTTGTGACGTCATTTCAGGGGGGGTCTGGCTTTTTGTGACGGAGGGGAGGGGAGGAGGTAAAAATCGTCCAAAAAAGCGTGACTTCATTTATGGATGATCCCTATGTAGCACCATAAAATAAGCAGAGACCGACATGTAACACCGTAAAATATGCACCAAACATGTGGCACCATGAGAAACAACTAAAATCATTTTATCATGAACAGCGAATTAGTTGATAGATTTCAATAAGGGTCGTCCAAAAATGACGTAACACTCGTAAGGGGAGGGGGTGGGTCCGTAATTTTGTGACGGTGTGTGATGAGGAGGGGCTGAGGGGGGGGGGGTTCAGATGGTGTGACGTCACACTTTTGCATTATAAAAAAGCTATGAAAGAAAACGAACTTTTATTTCGCGTTTTAGAAAACTGTTTTAATAAATTGTAATAGTAAATTATTTAAATACTATATGGTGACATAGTTCAGACAAGATTTTGGAAAAATATCGATGTTTCAAGAAAAATTCAACTGCAAATTTTGAGGTGGATTGTAGGGGGGTCTGGCTATTTGTGATAATGTGTGACGGGAGGGGGGGGGGAGTAAAAATAGTCAAATAAAGCGTGACGTCATTTATGGATGACCCCTTAGCTAGAATAAATTAAGCGGCAAAATGTATGCAGTGAAAAAAATTCTTAAATTTGCATACAAAATCTTTATAGGTCTATATTTATTTTAGACTCCAATGTTTTGCTTTTTTTTACAATAAATGTTTTAATCATTTTATATCATGCTCATTATAACAAGAATAAGGAGTTTCTGTTTGGGAACCTAAACAATACACGGAAAATTAAGCTTCTAAGTAGTTATATAGAGAAGCTCCCCACTGTGCCTATGATTTTATCGTTGACTTCTCGCTGCTATTAGAAACTACTGCCTTTTTTTAATGATATAATTAAATTAATTTCTTCTTTACGAAATTGATATTTTTATAGTAATTTATAATGTGGATAATTGGTCCCTCATGCAGATTTTTTAAAATCATACTTCACTATTCTGAGAGAGAAAAAATAAAGGCACATTTTTTTTCGTATTTTCAGTAGAAGGAAAACCATTTCTACATGTATATTTAATAACCTGACAATTTTCCGTCGTTGTTTTTAATTAATTGATTACAAATTATATAATACATGACAACGTGTACGAAATTAGCATTAGTCAAAGAGAGACAACTCAATTATTGACCTTTTTTTAAACAACTGATTATTACCTTCCTTTAATCTTGTTACAAAAGACGAGAGAAGATCAGATTGTTACAGTATGTTGTTTACAACAATTATCTTTATTGTCCTGGATATAAAAATGATGTTACACTGTTTTTGGCATTTAGTTAGACTTCTCATCTCATTTGTAACAATAAAGCACGTAATGGCATTCATATGCAACGACAACGAACTGCAAATTTACAAGATCAGGAATAGAACTACTTGAATAGGCATATTTATCGATAAGATAAGCCATACCCAAAACATACGTGAAGCTGTCATGATCATAATTCAACCCTAAGCCTAAATGCATACCCTAACTAAACCTAGCCGTTACCTAAACTAAAATAAGCTACTGTAATTATTAATTAAATTAAAAACGATCTGCTCCTGTTAAAGTTAAACAACTTAAGAACAACAAAATGTGGCCTTATCCACTCCCACAACTCCACCTTATACATTCACAATAATGTAATTTTGCATGCTTTAACATAAAGTTCATAAAGCCTGATATTCTAAATGTGGAACGACCTTGTTCACTTAGTGTTTTGTAGTTAGGCCTATGCTACTTAGGCAAAAAGATATCGTAGGCAAAAAAATATCGCTAAACTCTATCCAAGGGAGATAACAACCAAATTGCTTTTCATTCTGTACTGAAAACATGGCTGCATCAAGTAAAATTTTTCGCAGTGTTTATAGCACAATTCGCTGTAAAAAGCATCTAAATATTTCTAATTTTAGGAATGCCTCAAATGAGATGTTATATATTGTCAACGGACGATGCATGTCAACAGATGCACGGTAAAAAATAGTCTTGAGATAGATTTTACATAGGCCTGCTTCGAGAACTTAAGAAGTGCTGATCTACAAAATTCAAAGATCTTCTTTATGACTTTAGTTAGGTCAGGCCAACTCAGTTAGTGAGTTACTGACTCAAGATCTAGATCTCTAGATCTAGATATCTAGATCTAGGTACTTTAGGCCCTAAGTTTAACTTAAAATCTTAAAGTAGTTAAAAGATATCAAGATTCTAAAAGCCCCAATAAATAATTTAGGCCTGCCTAATTAGTAGGCCTAATAAATTAATAATAATTAAATTAATTATGAAAAATAAAAGAATAAAATAAAAAATTGATTTAACTTTAGCTTTAGGCCACAAGTTTAAATTTATTAAAGTAATAGATCTACTAGATCTAGATCTAATAGTAATGCTAATACTACTATTCTTCAGACTAAGCAAAGCAACAAGACTTAACACTTAAGTAAAAAATTAAACATAGAATAAGAAAATTAAATTAAGATAGGCCTAGGCCTAGTATTAAGTATAAAGTATAAAATAAATAGAGTCTAGATTCTAGATCTAGACAGCCGCAATTAAGTTTATTAAGAACTTTCTAGAGTTAGAGCCAGAGAGTCAAGAGTTAAATTTTTTTAACTTTGGAGTTTTGGCTCAGATTCTCAGATCAAGAATCTTAATTAATCTTAATCTTTATTAATAAGATAGTCCAGTCCCATTATACTTAGAGCCTGGAATCTGCACAATGGGAAAAGCTGTAGGTCTAAGCTATCCAGCCTATACACCTGTATGCCTAATCAATCAGATATTTTTCAAACAGAAAGAATGAACAACATGAGTATGATTTGGTCATTGTCGGAGGTGGGATTGTTGGTACAGCCACAGCGCAAGAGTTGTCAGCTAGACATCCACAACTCAAGTTGGCCATTTTGGAAAAAGAAAATGATTTAGGTTTGTATTAGATGAACAGTTACTGCAGTAGATTTGTCCTGGTATCTTTTATTTTACATGCCATAAACAAACAAAACAATTTTAACACTGTAATAGCCTATTTACTGCTCTATTATATTGAAATATTTCATGTTCAATTAGTGCGCAATTGTTTTTAGTCATGCAACTCTGTTGTATTTAAAAAAATTGAATACTGAAGAAAAAAAATCATGGATCGCTACTTAAATTCTTGTAAAGGTATTCAATACATGATTTAGTGACACACATTTATCTTTTTAGTTATTTGAATAATAGTTCCCTATTATATATTTAAAGAAAATCATTAATTTTCTTCTTTTTAGTGTATTACTACATAAAAGATTGTTATTAAAATGTTTTGTATGCATTTTTTTTTATTAATAATCACATTTTCCAAAAGGTTTTATTTTGTTCATAACTGGAACCTTAAATTTACTCTCAAAATTTTAACTTTCCAATTTCCATTCTCAGCTGCTCATCAAAGTGGCCATAACAGTGGTGTCATACACGCTGGTATCTACTATGTCCCTGGAACATTGAAAGCAAAGTTATGTGTAAAAGGCATGGAAATGGCATATAAATATTGTGATAAGCATCAAATTCCTTACAAAAAATGTGGCAAAGTAAGATTATGCAAACAAATCTTTAATGAAGTTATCAAATTACACATTTTATTAATTAATTCAATATGTATAAAAATATCAATATTCAAAATTGTCTAAAAAAATGTAAGTAAGGTTAGCAGATATTTAGCTAGTTGATATTTTTCTAATAAATTGTTTGTTTCAATGTCTTGTAGTTGATAGTTGCCACAGATCCTAGTGAGTTACCCAGGTTGGATGTTCTAATGGAGAGAGGGCTGAAGAATGGTGTGAAGGATATTAAAATGATTGGACCAGAGCAGATCAAGGAGATAGAACCCAACTGTGTGGTACAGACATTGTTTCTACATTCACAAAAACAATTTCTTTTTTATTTTTAAGGACTTATAGATTGATAACTAGCAACCTAAAAATACTTCTAAATTCACAAAACATTTTTATACAAACAGTAATGTCCTTCAACTTCTAAAGTCACAAAACAATTTATTTAACTTTAAATATCATGGATTGATATTTACAAGTTCATTAAAATTCATGAAACAACTTTATTTTTTATTTTAAGAAGATATGGATTAATAATTACAATGCAGGATGGAATGTTATAAATTATGAAAATTGATTACACTTTACAATACTTTAAACCTATTAGCACATCAGGTTTTATGAAAAAAAATTTAATTTAATGTAATTTTTTAACTTTGCCGATATTAAATGTAAATACAAATATGACTAATTAGTAACACCTATAAAATAGATTAAGCTTTAATGTTTTTCAAAATATTTCACTATTGCTTCTGCAGGGTCTCAAAGCTATTCATTCACCTCACACTGGCATTGTGGATTGGGGCCTTGTGACCAAGTATTATGGAAAAGAGTTTGAGAAACGTGGTGGAAAAATCTATAAAAACTTTGAGGTGACCAAGTTTTTAAATAAACAGGAGAGTAAAGAGGGAAGCAGCACAGGCCTGACACACAGTGTGGAAATACACGGCAATGGCCCTCAGGTATTGGTTTTACTCTGTTCAGTTGGTGATGATTAGGATTAACTGCTTTAGTACCCTTTTGAAATTATGTTCACTATTTAGATGAGGTTATGTTCACCTTTTTTTATTACCTTTGTACATGTTGTTAGCACTATGCCTAGTTTCCTTTACTTCCACCCAACTTTTATCACGTACTCCTCAAAGCTGGATTGACTTAAGAGATGTCTTACTGACTCTAGCCCATGAATCAAACTCAAAAATTTTGTGTTAGCAGTAATGTGCTCTGCCACTTAATCATACTACCATATTACATGTTCTAAATTGTTCTTATTTAAGCCTGTAAAGGGATGGAAGCGAGTGTAAAAATACTATTTCTTCCATATTACAACATTTTTATTTCCTAGAAACCAGTGGTGACCTGTCGCTATGTCGTGACCTGTGGGGGCTTGCATTCAGACAGACTGGCGGAGAAGTCCGGGTGCAATCCGGAGCCTAGAATTGTGCCTTTCAGGGGAGAGTACCTCTTGTTAGCTCCAGAAAAGTGCAACATGGTCAACGGAAATATTTATCCTGTAAGCTATTGTAAAATATCCTGACAACTAAAATATTTAAGAATTAAACCTTAAAATATAGTAGACACCATTTTAAGGAATAGATAACAAATCAATGAGCATTTAATAACATCAAATTAACAGTGTTTTCTCTTAATATAATACACAATGTCAAGACTTTAAGTTCACAGATTTCTTGTTCAGAAAATAAAATAAGCAGAGTTTCTTCCAGGCATCTCTTCGGACTTACCCCCCCCCCCCCCCCCCCGAATGAAATTAAATTTGTATAATTTATATAGAAAATATATACTTTTAACAGTGTCCACCCCCCCCCCCCCCCCCCCCGGAGAAAAAAGTCTGGAAGAAACACTGAAAATAAGTGTTTCAGAAGTAACATATTGAGACAGGCTTTAAGTATACGTGTTTATAAAGTAATTCAGTCGCAATAACACAATCTGATATTGAGAAACGGTTAAATATGTTTTAGAACATGAAACTTTTGTGTTTGTGAACAGGTACCAGATCCACGTTTCCCATTCTTAGGAGTCCACTTTACACCACGTATGGATGGCAGTGTCTGGTTAGGACCTAATGCAGTTTTAGCTTTTAAAAGGGAAGGTTACGGATATACACAGTTCAGCTTATCAGATTTTACTGATGCTGTCAGCTTTAGGTAAGGTTGGCTGTTTGAAGTTTTAAAATACTGATTGTAATTATAGGAAAAGACAAGTTTTTTGGAGAAAATATTTCACAGATGAGTATTGTAAGTCACCTTTTAGATCTGATGGTCATTGAAGCAGAATGAGCGAGAGTTCAGGTGTCTCTTTGTACTTGGTGGTTGAAAGAATAGTGAAAATAAAAAGTAAAGCCCCCACCCCCTTTCAAGCCTAACTATTCACTGAGAAGATGAAGATTGTATGTTTCCTGTTCCATAACCTCGCTATATGAAGAGATTGTGAAGTCAACAGTATGCCAAGGCATCTGTACTTTCCCTAATTTGAGGTACCCTTCAGCAGGGATGTGACTTTTCCGAATTTTAGCGGAAATCCGATTTTTCCGTTTCAGTTGCGTTTTTTTTCCTCCGCTGATTTTATTTTCGCCGAATTTTTCCGTCGACTTTCAATTTTTGTTGATTTTTTACGAAGTTTTAAAAATTAGGAAAAAAAAAACGGAAATGTCTTCTACGGAAAGGGCCGACATGCTCATTCCACTTATTCGTATTTAAATTTAAATCGACAACTACTGTACTTAGGTCAAACGGACACTCGAATATGCACATTTCTTTTCGATTGGTCGATTGCGCTAGGTATGACGGTGCTTGATCAAGATTAAATGTAGATTAAGATTCGGAATTTCGGCAGACTTACGAATTTTTCAAAGCACAATTTTTTAGTCCAAATTTTCCGCTGATATTTTTAGTTAACTATTTATCAAAAACACGGGAAAAGGTAATCTAAAATAATGCAGTTATTCAAATGAAACTTACATCTCTTAAGCCTGGTAATCTAGCTATCGATATCGCCTAATTTACCTATCGGTATTTTAACCCGCCTAAATCTAGAGTTACTCTCTGATTCTATTTTATTTCGCAATCTCAATTTAATATGGAAATCCTTGCTAAAATTGACTATGAGGACTAGACTAACCCTCCCCACCTCGTACTAACGGTGGCTCTTGTGACCTCACCTTGACCCCAAGTACGTGTTCGGTACTGCTTGTGGGGGAAAAAAATGACGTCACAGTCAATTTCAAATAGCTGTTCCTGCAATACGTATGCTTCGTAGGCCTACAGATTTAAAAAAAAAAATACTAAACTCAACGTGACTACGATCGTGTCTTGTTTGTGGAAGAAAAAATACGTTCAGAGGTCTTCCATAAATAACGTCACACTCGTAAGATAGTGTAACGTCATATTTTTGCATTAAAAAAAGTAATGTTAGAAAGAACTGCATTTTAGCCGCTATTACGAGTTTTAGAAAACTGTTGTAAAACATAGAAATTGAATAAGATACCCTATGTTGGTCGACCTCAGTCAATATTTTAGAAAAAAATCGATGTTTTAAAAAAAATTCAAATTCAATTCGAAGGGGGGGGGGGGGGGGGGCTGAGGTGTGATGTCATTATAGGGGGGGTCTGGATTTTGTAGGACAGAGGGGAGGTAAATATCGTCAAAAAAATGTGGATGACCCCTAACAATTTACAGCTATTCCAAAAAAACATAAATATCGATGTGGCTTGGCTATCAAAATGATTTACTTTCGTTCACACGTCAGACCCTTTCTAATTTTAGCTAACCTGGTCCAGTCATTTTTCCATCACATGAACCTAAAACTTTCAAATTGTAACTAATCTTAATCTAGGCTCTTTACAGTTAAAGACAAACAAATATTTTTACCAATCCAATCTTTAAAAGAATATAGGGTATTAGGCCCCCTATTTAAAATTGAAAACAGGAGTACATCTAGAATCTACACCAGATTAGTAGGCCTACAGTTTAAATTAGCTTAATGGTAAAATAAAACTTAATAGCTACTTTTGGTACATTGTAATTTTTAAAAAGTTGTTTATTAGGTAAACATTAAATTGCAATTAGACAAGACTTTCAATGTTATTTTAGAGTAACATTAACTTCTTGTATTTAGAATATTAACTTCATAAAACAATTTATTAGTACAGTAACAGTATGAAGCTGCGTAACCGCGATAAAAAGTAGATAAAGCATATTGAGTTATTATCCGAAAAAAATTTCCTAATTTTTTTTCCTGGTCTGGTCACATCCCTGCTTCAGAGCTGTATGGGTTATGGGGTGGCCTTCAGACTCAGGTCTGGATGGAGATAGCAACTTTTGTGTAGGCAGTTGTAGCTCTATCACCCGACCATGCCGTCCCATATAAAGGATCAGTGTGGTCAGTGATATGCCCACTTTTAATCATGCTCTATACCTCCCAACAGTACTTATCACCTGATGACCATAAATTTGTTTAAGATTGTGAAATAATTGTTTTTGTGTGAATTCTATTTTTAAAAATAACATCATTTAATTGAGCTAAGTTTCAAATTTTAGGCAGTGGGGGGACTTTGCAGCGGAATTGGTGCGTAATATTAGACAATTGAAGTCTATTTTATGGCTGCTTTATTTATTTTTCCAGGCCACTTGCTCACTCTATCCACCTCTACTTTTAGGAATATTAACCTTTGCTCTTTATATTCTGAGTTTTTTAAATTGTTTAGGTTAAGTCTATCATTTTCTGAAACATTTCTGAGATAAGTCTTAGTTTATGAGTTTTATATGAATTCATTTTCAGAGGGCTTAGAAAGTTGGCAATGAAACATTTAAGTTATGGTATTCAAGAAATGTACAAGGGTATCTATATCAGAGCTCAAGTGAAACAATTACAGAAGTTTGTACCTTCACTTAGACCACAAGATGTTAGTAGGTGTGTATTGAAACTGAATTAGATGTTATTATTCACTAAAATACAACAAGTAGTTCTGGGTACCAGAGGTTGGTATTTATATGTTCTGGTAGAGCTTATTGGTAAATAATTATTTAGGTTGTCTCACATAAAATGTAAGGAATTCATTTTTTGTTAGGTAAAAATGTAGGTTTGATGCATTAAATAGTTGCTCATAACTATAAACTAGAATTTTTCACACTTCTTTTACATAGGTTTTTATGAGTGTCAATTTAAAAATAATTTAGGTTATTTTTAAACCAGGCATTAATAAGGAAAATCCCAAGTCTATAAATAGAAAAATAGCTGATTTATTCTATACAGGGGACCAGCTGGCGTGAGAGCCCAGGCATTGGACCGTGACGGCAAGTTGGTGGATGACTTTGTGTTTGACAGCGGATCAGGTGACTTGGGCAGTCGAGTTTTACATGTCAGGAATGCTCCATCCCCGGCTGCAACATCCTCGCTGGCCATAGCAGAGATGGTGGCAGACAGAGTGGAGGAGCAGTTTAAACTGTAAAGATGGGGGCTAACAGGATCTGCAGCAGTTTAAGCCTTAAAGATGGTGGATAACAGGGTTTGCAGCAGTATTAAACTGTAAAGCATTTGGATTTAAAAGAGAAGTCTTTCAGGGTATTACTTTAACAGAATTATATATATTTACCATACTGCTGTTGTTTTATAAAATTTATATGAAAAAATTGTTTTGGGTTGTAAATGTATAGGCACTAGATAGCATTCTAATTAATTGTAAAAATAAGAAATTTATTTAGGATTTTTTTTATTGCTCATTAACATACTAAAGTTTCAACAAATAAAGAAAACAATGCTATCATTTTATAGTATATATTTTTTAAATTTGTTCACTTTTTATAATATATATATAGATGAAGCTCCATCTTTTTAAAAATTTAAATAATCTTCAAGAAGATATTACTTTGAGCACCTTAGTTTTAATGGGTTTATTATCTTTTTAAAATTTTTTGCTGTGTATTTTATTTAATGTATGGGCTGTTCACTTGGCTTTGGATGCAACATTTTATAGCTTTGCCATTTATGTTTGATATGATAGAAACATTTTCTATTGATCCAACAACTGACTTTGTTATATGTATGTCTATTTTGTTTTCACAATAACAATGTTATTTTTATTGCTTTCAAAAGGCTGTTATATATCAATTTACTGTATGCAATTGTTATCCAGCATAATATCTGTTATCTTGTAAGTTATTTCAAAGTTTTGCACCATTTTGTAATACTAAACAGGTTTTCTTATTCTTATATTTTTAATGAATTTGGTTTTTATTATATGTGATGAACCCAGTTTTTCTTCATGTGAACTTAAAAGACTATAGATCTAGATTGGACTTGCACTTAGTTTGCTTAATTTATGTATGGACGTAGACTTACATAGAACTTGCAAGTCCTCTCCCACTTGTTTGTATGAAAACTCCGAGTGGTAGTTTAGATCTGACAACTTCCCTCCACTGGGATTGTGTCATTTTATTTCACAAGCTGTAATTCAGTAATAGAACATTACTCATGGTGTTACTGATTTTAAATGTTGAGGAGTTGAAATATGGCGACTTGGTTGTGTTGGTAAATTTCTTACAAATCATCTTTTCAAAGATGAGTTTTTGCTCAAATACTTTTCTAAGTTAGACTACTTATATGAGTTATACTTACTGCCGCATATTTATTAGTTATATAAATTTGTGTAGGCTACAGCTGATCTATTTTTTTTAATGCACTGCCTGGTTTACAAATTTAACTTAATTTATTCACTTTTTTTATTTGTATGATCAGCAGTGAGTTGCTAAATGGATGGGGAAAAATGTATTCAAATTTAAAATTATTTTGGCTATTTGATAAATTTTTTTATTTATTGCAATTAAACAGAGGGGAATAAAAGTCATCTAACACACAGCTGGTTTTGTTTGTGAAGCATAAATTACCGGTGTAAAAAAAAAATAAGGTGTGTGTAAATTTAAATTTTATTGAATACAACAATACAGGCTTCGGTCTCTCCAAGTTTAACATCGTGAGTAGACAGTACAGTCAAAGGCAACAACTGATGGTTAACTTCTTGAGCTTGGTCAATGGCTTCTAAATTATCTTGGTTAAACTTCTCAGAGAGTGGTAACTTCAGTAGCAACATTTTTTTTATGTCTCGACTTACTAAAAGCACACACCTTCCTCCTTGTCTCAATACCCTAAATAAGAAATTTTTTAAAATGTAAAATCCGTGCCTTAATCCATCTTCTGTAATTCTTAACTTTTTTAAAAAGGCTTATTTATCCCAGAATAGAAAACAAATAGTCAAAATTATATTTCAAGATTACCTGCAAACTTCTCCAAGAAACTGCATGTAGAAAGATTCTGTGTTAATTGTCAACAAATACTTTAGGTTAAAAGGTGCATCACAGATGACAATGTCTATGCAATTATCTCTGAAAGGCATTGCTGAAACATGCAGTGTTAAACATTACAACTTGACAATGTATTATGTAGATATCAAAGTTTTTTAATACTCAACATTGATCAGAATTTCTAAAATTTCGAACAAGCTATCACTATCTTAAATTATAAAACAGTATTTTATTGCATGCTTAGTTGTTAAAGTAAATTTTCAGAAACTCTTTATCTTTTGTAATAAAAGATCTATGTCAGAAACATTTTTTTCAAACAAATTACTAGAAAAAATCTTTTCAAAGCTTACTCAGTGTACTTGATATATTCTAAGCATCTTAAAAATGTGTACCATACTTTATAAAAGCTTACTTAGACTGTCAGCCATCAATATGGAGATATTATGTTCCTTTTTACACAAGTGTAAATTCTGAGTGGCCACTTGAAGCTGAGATAGATCAGTATCACCTCCTATGTAGCTTGCTTCCTTAGTGTAAAAATAGTTCAACATTATAATCCAAATAAGTCAAATATCAAAATACAGCTGTTTTTTTTTCCACAACAAATACCAAACTCACCTGGAATTCTAAGCCAGATTCTAATAAAATGGTTGCTCTTCCACACATAGGATCTAGTACTATATCACCAAGCTAGGGTAAAAGCAAATGTTTTAGCTCAGATAAATAAATGATTATACAAAACATTTTTTTTGAAAGAAAAATACGAAACAAAACATGGCAGAGGATTTTTACCTGTACATGAGCCAGATGATACATGATCCATGCTACTGGTGCTCTCAGTCCTGAAGCCACAATATAATCTCTTTTAGACAATGGGTATCTATTTGATGTAATGTAATGTGACATCTTGCATCATTTAAGTTAACATAGTTGTTAATTTTTTTAAACAACAGAGTTCAAGATAAAACATGTCAGTAAAGCTGAATAAAAAAATTATTCACTTGCTTTAAGCTAGCTGACCATTACAATATACAAATGAACTAATGCTTATGACTAGATTTACCTGGACATGGGGATACCTGCTGTAACATAACCATCACTTATATGCACACTAACCTAAAAACAGAAATGTTTCCATTAAGTACATAAATCCTTTATTCTAATTAAATCAGGGATACTATTGAAATTACCACAAGCCTGTTTATAAAATCATTTAACTTAACTGGAGCATTGACAAGTTAATTCCATAAATAATAATCAAACCTCCAATAATTAAAAACAAACAACAGTTAATAAGAGTCTTAATCTACAAAATGATTCAGTTTTTCTTTTATTCTTTTAACAATGAGCCAATAGAGCTTGTTTAAATTTAAACCAATGTAAGTGTAAGGATAAAAAAAAAAAGTTTACAAAAAAAATTATTTTAATATTAAAAAGACAGCAGCTAAAATGAAATATGAGAAACCGCAATATGGTTTATGGTTGTCTAAAAGTAAAAGAAACCTCAATATCAGGGTGTCTGAGATTAACCCTCCATCCAGTCACTCTTGCCACTCGCCACCCTATGTCTTTAGAAAGTTTCTGAAATAAATGGCATAACTGTTTTATTTTTAAAATCATAAATTTTCATTCATCCCTATTAAAAAAAAATAGTTTTACAGCTTGTAAATAGAAGCAAATAAACATGTTTACCTGTGTATTTAACCATCTGCTGACTTTCCCAGAACATTTAACACAAACACGAAATGTTAAGAAACCTGGCTTGTCATCAGAACTATGTGGTACTGGGTTAGTAACCAGCTTCTCACTGCATGCTGAAGAGTTCTTATTTTCTGCTCCGGTGTTGACTTCTGTGACCAGGTTTTTAGAAAATGTTGGATTTGACTGTATCATTTTTTCAGCTCTTGTTTGAATGTCCAACCCACTGTCTGAACATTCACCGGATTGTTGTATTACATCATTTTCTAAACATACTTTTTTATTTGGTGGTTCCTTCACGCTATTACTTTCCATATTTGATACATTCTGTTCTGAACAGATCTGTTTATCTGAATGCAAATGACCTTTTCTCTCTAGAAGATTTCCCTCATTTTTATCTAACTGTGCTTTGTTTGAATGAAAACTGTCAACTGCAAACAAACTGTTTGGAACATGAAGGGCTTGTAGCTGGTTTAAAGCCAAATGAATAGCAGAAAAATTGTCTGGCCTTGAAAACTCACTCATTAATTTGTCCAGGAACACTTTTTTATCTGGAAAAAAAAGATTTAAAACTAATCCAAAAGAAAATGACAAATGATTTTACTTACTAAAAAAAATGTAAATGTTTCAATTACTGTTATTGAGTTAGGCCTACATTTTTAAAGAGGAGTGATTCCTAACATTTTTTATCGGACTTTTAAAGTATAAAAAAGTATTCTCCCCTGAAAAATCATGCAACATAATTCATAAAAAATAAAACATTAACATTAAAGATGCTGTACTAGGCCTCCTGTGCAGGACAGTAGGCTACACAATTGTTACTTTTACAAAGTGCTAAATGTAATAAAAACTTCAAATCCTAAGCCACATAAAATGTTTCCATATTATTACATTTTATTATTTTGTATACAAATGAAATATTTCCTTAAACAAATGAAAATTGTATTAAAAAATTTTTTTTTACGTTTCTTACTTTGGATAAAATTAGAATTGTCGTAGTCTGTAATGGCTATGAAAGCTCTTTCAATGGACTTCAGGGATAAGATCTTTTCTAAATCTAATTTCTTGTATGGGATCCGAACAAACACTTTGCCATCTCGTCGATGTGTCTAAAACAAAACAAAAAGATATTCAAAATGTGAAATATTGTGCTGCTTCTACTAAACAGTATTAATTGTGGACAAAACTATTTGAAACAGAGGTTTTATACTTAATGGGATGATGGGTTCTCAGATCATTACAGGAGTGGAGTCAACAGCAACAATTTAAGTTTAATATTTTTTATCCGTTTATCCACAATAGCACACCGGTGTCGCAACATCTAGCGTCTTATTACAAACATTTACATGTTATTTTTCCCACACGTACTTCCAGTCATTCCCTTACAGCTCACACCACAACATGAGCATTAACTCAATTACTTGGGTACAAGCTGTTTTCTTTTGAATTTCCATTTCAGCAAAGGCCTCTGTTCCTCTACCTGCAGTGATGTATATCCTTACAAAATTCTCCAGCCTTTCCATATTTTTAACTTTTAGACCTAAAAGAGATTAAAATAAAATGCAGATAATATAGGCCTCCAAAATCTTGAATAATTATAATTGGATAGAAAAATATAGTCTTACAGTATATACACAGTTCTGGCTAGATGTAGTAGTCTGTAATACGAGCCGACCTGTGGGTCGTCCATAAATGACGTCACACTTGTAGGGAGTCCGTAATTTTGTGACGGTGTGTGATGAAGGGGAGGGGGGGTTAAGAGGTTGTGACGTCACACTTTTGCATTATAAAAAAGCAATGTTAGAAAAGGAATTTTAGCCGTTATTTTGTGCTTTAGAATGCTGTTTTAATAAATTGTAATAGGAATTGATTAAAATATATGTTGACAGAGTTCAGACAAGGTTTTTGGAAAAATATCGTATTTTAAGAAAAATTCAACTGCCATTTTGAGGGGGGGGGGGGGTTGTAGGCTGAGGTATGACGTCATTATAGAGGGGGGTCAGGGGCATTTGTGACAATGTGTGATGAAGGGGGAGGGGGTGGGGGTAAAAATTGTCCAAAAAAGTGTGACATCATTTATGGACGACCCCCTGCTGAGTAGCATTCTCCGCTATTTAGTTGTTTTATTTTCTACTTTTCAGTAATTCATAATTTGTGAATACAACACTATCTCCCTTTCCACCCCCCCCCCCCCCCCCCCCAACCCCAGTGAAAGCAGCTGTCCGTGATGACAGTTTACAGATGACAATGAAAAGATCAAGCAGAACTTTTTACCTCCCCTTAGTTTCAATTTGTTTAAAAACTAAATTATCTGCCCCTAGTATATGAGCCCAGATAGCATTGCACATTGCTTAATCCTTCTCTAGGATTGTTAAGGCACAATGCAAAAAAAAAACAACAGAATAGCGACTAGGAACAGGCTGGGCATAGGCCATTAACATTCACATTTTATTAATTAGGCCAATATGAATAATCTCAGTCTGAGTATATCATTATTATTCATGGATTAGGCCCTATCTGTAGAATGTTAGTATTACTAATGAGCATAGGCCATTAACATTCACATTTTATTAATTAGGCCAATATGAATAATCTCAGTCTGAGTATATCATTATTATTCATGGATTATCTGTAGAATGTTAGTATTACTAGACTTTAACTAGATGTAGATTCTAGTAACTATTAAAATAAGCAAATAGAATAATGGCATAATAGAACAATAGATTGAATAGATTCAATAGAGAAATAAAAGACTAAAATAATAGGATTTACTGATTTAGGCCTAAAATCTAGATCTAGATTTAGCTAGATCTACTAGAAAAAAAGAATCTATCTAGATCTAGATCTAGATACTTAATAAAAAAAATTTTGATCTAATGGTTTATATTGATTTTTAAATTGTATAGGCTTATACACCCTCTAGATCTAGACTAGATCTAGATCTAATCTAGTCTAGAATTCTAGATCCATAGGTCTTTTAGACTTTTACTTCTCGGCTAAAACTAAATGAATATCCTAATTTTTATATATTGGTAGGTTAAGCTAGAATAAGAATTTTATTTTATGACTACGAATCCACAAGTGTTTTATTGGATTCGATTTCCCGATTTTAAAGGTAACGATACTTATTTTTTTCCGGCTCTTCAATAATAAAGATAAATATATTGGATCCTACCATTACAGACAAAACGTTGAGTTATTTCCGACGATGTGGTAAAACAAATTATAATCATTCATACATTAAATAACTCATTTTATTAAGTAGCTGCATGAAGTTTGTTCTTTCCATGTAATTGCACTGCATAAGCAGGAGTAGATGCACACAGGAAACTCTTTAACATAGATTAATGCTTGAAAATTTAAAAGCAACATCCATGGGTTCAAACAATTTTTTAAAAATTATCTCCCATCTTGAAATAATTAAAGGTGGCGCTAGTTTCGTATGTTATTTTTTAGGCCTATATTGAGAAATTAACTCAATGTTTATTTCATAATAATATAAATATCTAGTTCTAGCATTTAAATAGGCCCAATATTTTTATTAAATCTACATGCACACAAGTAGTCACAAGTTTGAATTAAAAAATAAAGTTTAATAGGCCCCCTAAAGTAGCCTAATAGATTAAAATAGATCATGGACATGGGCTCAGAGCTAGATTTCTAGATCTTCTACTCTACTGACTACTGACTGTTTCTCTCTCTAACCTAGTCTAACTGCTATGTCTACACTCTACCTACTCTTCTCACACTACTTAACTGTACTAGATCTAGACTAGACTAAGTAATTTTAGATCTAGATTTCTAGAATCTAGGTTTATCGGGCTTCTAAAAGTTTTAAAAAATCCTTATGCCTCTGTTCATACTCATAGGCTCAAGCTATAACTAAAATTACGGGAGAACGTTTATACCGGTGTTCGATAATCATAATGGAATCTTCTGTAAAAAAGGGATGTTAGGTTACTGGTAGTTAAGTAAATACACACATGGCTGACTAATGTCAATACTTACCCTGTCCCAATACTATTTTTACTAACCATACGCCTAACCCTAATTTCTAACCATAAAATTAGTCGAGATTACAATACTACTAACAACCCAACACCCTTTTTTAAAGAAGATTCTATTATCGGACACCTGTATCTATAATCATCCAAAAGTACGTTTAACAAAAAAGCAAACAATGTCTTGACCTGATGTCTTGTCCTCAAGATTTTATCTCTGTCCGTGCTACCTTTATAAGTTAGTTCATTTGGGTCTATAGTATCGATTTAAAGAAAAAAAATAATAGGTGCTAATCAATACTATTGTCTTCTTATTACGCACTATTCTTTTTAAGGTATAAATTCCAGTTTCTTTGCCTCTGGAGAAGAATTGCATGATCAGTGTAACATTTTACATAAACTTAAGCATTTTTCTTCACAAGAATATTCGCATTCATGTTTTACCAAATGGTTTTAAAAACATAGTATGCATTTTAGCTATGACTAAGGACTATGACCAACCTAAGTCTTAAGGTTTTGTAGCACTCGTGGTGGAATGCTAGCTTTTTTCATGAGTAGCACGGGAAACAAATACTCTTATATCCATTATGTCTCTTTGTCTATCAGATTTGGTTTTTAGAACATGGTTTGCTTTTTAACTATGATCAATTTAAGGTTTTATAGTACTTGTGGTTAAATGCTAGCTTTTTTTTTTCATATGAGTGGCATGGGAATCTCAGTACTCTGCATCTCCATTTTGTCTCTTTGTCTATCATATATGGTTTAGAATTGAATTACCCATATAATAAGAAATTTGGCTATGTGTGATGTAAGAAAATATTTTTTAAATATGGCCCAAGGCTATTTCCTGTTGGTTGGGAATAGCCATATTAGGGCTGTTCACAGTCCAATTTCATTTCACGTAAAAGCTTTCGACAACCGTGGATTTTATTCATGTTTTAATATGTAGGCTATGTAGTCATTTTAGAAGTTTCAGCTTATAACAAACACTTCAAGGCACTTTTTAGAAGAAAAAAAATTCTGGCAAAGGATAATGACTATATTTGCAAAAAATTATTGTTTATAAATTGATTTTTTTTTGTGAGAAACAACTTTTTTTTCCTAATAGAAGAGGTGTAAAAATGAAGTTATTTAAATATTGATTTAACTTAAAGAAACTCTATTTCATACACCCTTTACCATTAAAGTCAGATGTTGTTCAATATTTTTTAATTAGAATAATCCTTATTAAAACATTTATGTGCCAGTACCAAATTTTCAGTTATGATTAAAGCTATTTAAGGTGGCATATTATTTTTTCATCATACTTACTCATAGGCCTAATTAATAGTTAATAGCTTGCTATTGCTAATGAATGTAACAATTTTAAATTTACTTTTTTAAAGTACAGATGCTGACCTGTAAAATCACATCAAGCTAATAATTGATATGGAAAAGACTGGAACAGAAACTCCGTCTAACAAACAAGAAGAAACATGTAAAATTGAAATTACAGATAGTGAAGAAAATAGTAAAGAAAGCTGTAATGATGACAATTCTAATGCTGTCACAGACGCACCAGGTGCTAAGGATGATATTGACATTGCTGATGATGAGAGCATTTTAGTCATAGATGTTGAACAAACAGATCAGCTAGAAACACTGGCTAATGTGTCTTATCAAGCTGATAAGCTAGAAACATTGGCTAGTGTATCAGCTAGTTCAAGTATTTTGAAGACAACTCCAGGCATGAAGAGTAACCAGCCATCAGCAGTGACTAGCAGTTCATCCTCCACATCAGTTAGCCAAGTCTCTTCATCTTCACAATCTTCCCAAACAAGCATTAATGCAAAGGAAAAAACAGTTGATATCCCTTTGGCACCCTCAGGTATCAAACTAATTTAAATTTTTTGGTCGAGGGTGGGGGGTGTACTGTAAGAGGTATTCAAACTTAACAAACAGGCACCTTATAATTTTTTGTTTTTAAAAGTGATGCTTTCTTGGCTCTGAGAAAATAAAACTGAAATGTAACTTTTTATTTTTTTAACTGCACAATAAAAACATTTGTATTGATATCAGCATTACTTTGTCACATTTTAAAAGTAATGGTTTTATAAAAATAAATCTGTTAAAATACAGTTAATTCATTTTATTTAGATGTAGTTCAAGAAAATTCCTTTGTCACCAATGTTCTTTTAAAACTCAGCTTGATATGGGTAGAACTAGAACTTGGCCTTTTTCAATATTTTACTAAAACTTGTGTTTAAATTTATAAATCTAGTGACACTATTTAAAAACCTGAAAGTTTTAATTCTCTAATCTTGTGTAAGGTTAGGGTGAGAAAGGATAACTCAGTTCAAAACCTTGGTAACTAAGGTGTCAGTGTAAACTGAGTTATTTAATAACTAAAAATGTATTTTGAATGTCTCAAATGTCTTTATCTTTCTTATTCAGATAGTTTAGATGCTATAGATGAAGACTGCTCTGAATATTTGAGAGAACCCTTCAAAAAAGGTATAATTCTTTAATAAAATTTGCTGTAATTTTCTAAAAATCATAGATTTCTGTTTTATAAGCACTGTAGGTATTTTACTTCTCTACTATTTAATTTTGATATAAATGATTATCTTATGTTTTGCCTTAATTTTTCTATTATCACTATTGTTTTTCCATCTTATAATAATGATCTTGATAGGGAAATATTTTACCAACCCAATGGCATTTTTCTAGTTCATCACAGTTTTAAAGTTCTACACAAATATTTTTACTATAAAAGTCAAGTTTAAAATAAGTTGCATTTAGAATTATTTTTTTTATATTTGAATTAGTGAAATGTGCAGACGCAGAGAGTTTATAATAAACATCATTCATAATTGGTTATTTTAAGGTTGGAAAAGAGAGATAGTATGGCGTAATACATCTGTAAAAAATAAAACATTTGATGTTTACTACTTTCCTCCACGTGGCAAAAAACTGGTATGTACACTAATGTACAGTGTAAACTGTTGAATATAATAACTTGTAGTATAGTTAAATGTAGCAGAAAATGAGTATTCTATTATTATGTTTTCTCTTAAATTATTCAAATTGATGCATTGATTTGTAAGGGTTGTTTTTTTATTCTAGAGATCTATGGTGGAGGTTGCTGTTTATTGTGAGTATATTTTGAATTTGTAGCATTGACATTTTTAACAAAAGCTTAGATGTTTGTTCTTATTAATTAAAAAAAACCATAAATGTCGACATGAAAACATATTTTGTGGCATAGACAAAAAAATCTACATAGTGATATAAAAATATCATCTGAGCTGTCACCTACACAAACAATTTACTCACCAATCATGATGAAAAAATACTCACCTTTATTTCCATTGTGAGCTCCGTTCAGGTCATAAGAAGATTAATAACTATATTTCTATACAAACCTAATATGAATACATTTTCACTTTGTGTTATATATTTTTTAAAGTGCTCTTGTTCCTCTCATTCTCAGTACATTTCACTTCTAAAAAGAGTTCTTAGACTTTGCTCTTATGATGATTACTGCTGTAGAAATTATCTAAAGCATCTTAAAAATAGTGTACTGATGCTTTCACAGTAAAGCTGTTTTTATTTCCTTGTTCAGTAAAATACTTTGCTTTTTTTTTTCCAGTGCTGGAGCATAAAATTGTTGATCTCACCCTGACACATTTTTCTTTTAAACGCCGAACTCTGTACAAACCACCATTTGAGATTGTACGTACCGCAGGGAAATCGACTAAAAAAGTGGCAGAAAAACAGTTGTTGGAGAATAACCCCGCACCCAAAAAAAGGGGTAGAAAGCCCAAGTCATTGACTTTCAATTCAAGTGCTGACTCATCAATCCCGACAGTACATTCAGAAACAGCTGCTGTTGAAACATCTGAACCTGTGTCTGATGTATCCAATGTTTCTGCCCAGCATTCAGATGCTCAGCTCACAGACAAAGAAACGCCTGCTAAACCGAACACCACACCAAACACTTCCACAATTCAACAAAAGGTTCATCCACTTTACACTCCTGGTAAAAGAGGAAGGCCAAGAAGTGTTTTCAAAATTAAACAACCGACTCATCCACCTCGTAAAAGAGGAAGGCCAAGGTTAGAAGACTCAAGGCCAAAAGTAGTAGAACCAACGCCTGTATTGGCAGAAACAAAACTTAAACTAGCAGCACCAAAGCCTAAACTAACAGACTCAACGCCCGAAGTAACCGATTCAGTGCCAATACAGACAGATTTGACACCTAAGGTCATAGAGTCAACGCCTAAAACTAAAGGTCCTACTTTTAAAAAATCAAACATCAATATAATCAAAGCTGGTGCTGGACAGACACAGCGACAGAAACGCAATGATGATGAGTATTTTCAGAATATTTTGGGGGCTCCATCTCAAGTTATAGCATCTTTTCTTCGACAAGAACCTGTAAAACGACAGATGGAAGGCAGCAATGGCCAACCTGAAGCCAAAAGACAGTGCCTATCACAACCATCACAATCTGCAGATAACTGGTATTGATTTATTTTAAAAAATTAAGTATTGTTATAGTTAATATTAAATATTGTTTATACTTAACAAGAGTGAATAACCTTTTTACACTAATGAGATGTTCTGTTTGTTATTTTAGCATAACCAAAGAAATAGAAACACAGACAGTCATAAAGGAGTGTGCTGAAAAATTGTGTTCCACACGTTGTCCAGGACTAGAAGGCATTATGCCACAAAGGCTATGCAGTGTTTGCAGCTGTTTTTATCATTTAGAATGTGCCAGAAAGAGCAAAAATTTTACCAACTTTATGTGTTTTGTAAGTACATACACAGTAGATCATTGTTGTTTATGAAAAAATCCCATTGGACAAATCTCATTTAAAATGTTAATTAGATTCTTTGATTAGATGTTTTTTCAATAAACTAAACACAAGTTGTTTTTGTATTTTTAAAAAGACCCATACTTTAGTACCCCATATTTGTTAGTTAATTAAAATTGATTGTCCAATCTTTATTTTTTTTGTTTTGAACAGAACTGTGCTAACAGAGCAGTGAAAACATCAGTATCAAAACCTCTTCTACATCAGACAAGTATGCCTCAAACTTCAAACCAGATTCTGCTTCCTGTTTCCATGCAGAATAATCTCCCCATGTTCTCTGTCCCTAACCTCATGACCTCGTTACCTTTCTATGCCACTACAACACGACCTGGGAATATGCCCACCACTCTAATATCAACACCAGGTCCGCATGGGACTACTGTAAGGCCCAGTTTCTTCTACATACCATCCTTACCCCCTCCACCACCATTAGCTCCCAGGCCTAACTATAACCTACCTTCAAATGAACCAGCAAATGAGAGACAGCAAGCACCTATGCTACTTTTTCTACAAAATCCTGATGGGAAAACTTCAAATAGCCTATTTTCCAATACAGCTTTGACAGTGCCAGTGACTTCTCTTCACACTGCTAATCAGGCTTTGGCTGCACGCTCTGAGTCACCTGAAGCCTCTGCTTATAACAACAGACTTGGTTCGCAACACAAAGAGGCACCCCGTCCAGTTTGTAGAACAACATCTCTAGACTCGTCCAATGACTCAGATGACATAGACTTCTGTCCACCAGTTTCCTTTGGTAAAGCAGATACCTCTAATGCAGACGCACCTAGTTTTCCAGCCTGTGACACTATTCGCTTGATTTTAAAAAATTCAATTCTGTCAAAAGGTAATGACCAGGCAAAAAATCAGGGTTTGTTCTCTGGGATGGAACCATTACCTTGCTCTAGCTCTGAATCTTCTGTGGGTTTAAGATCATTCCCCATTAGAAATGCTGTAAATAATGGATCTCCTATGGCCTGCAATGACTCTGTAAGACAGTTGAAAAACTCGGATTGTTCTGTTGATGTTGTGACTCCAGAATCAACGGCTAGCAGCGGGTTGTCCCCCTCAACTTCAATGCCTAATTCTGTTTCATCCTTCAAGATACTGAGGCAGGAGATTCAGGATAAAGAAGACCTGAATAAGATATCAGTTTTTGAGAAAAAGTCCTCCATCGCTCAGATGCTGGAACTGCCTCCCAATGTGGCAGAAACTCTAGATCTGACCAAACCTTTGGCATTAAAGATAAACCAAGTTGAACTTGTTGTGCCCCCAGCTTGGGTGAAAGACTATAAGATCATCCTGCCACCTCGAGCTTGTGAACTCCCAAGAAATCCTTCGTGTGAATTGAATATTTTTGTATCTAATGACTTGAACACACTTTCTTTTTCCAAAAATCTTGAATCCAACAAACAATTTCAAGCAATAGTTCGCAAGAGACAACAGAAATCATTCCTAAGGTCATTTAAAATGCTGCAGTCAAGTTTTACTATCATGATGAGGGTATTTAGATATTTGCCCTTTCAAGATCTTCTCAGGTAATTTTCATTCCTGTTAGTTGTACTTTTTAATTTTATCTTCTCTTAAAAATCATTTGCAAAACAATCTAGTGTTATGTTGGTTCAAGTTTCAACCATTTGAGATTTTTGTGTAAACAATGAACACACTTATAGCTAATTTAAAAATCATACACAAAGCTATATGTGATGATAGTTAGAATACATATGCCATTGAGTGTTAAAACTGAAAATCCATTTTGATAATATCATTGTGTCCCCTTATTTTTCTCAAACCTCAATCACTTTCTATTGGTTCTTACATTGTGCAACAAGTTCATTCCTTTCTTGTCAATTATTTCAGAGCAAGTAGAGTTTGTAAACTTTGGAGAACATTTGCTTTACAACCAGCTTTAGTAAGTACTTCCTTTTGTTAAAGCTTTAGGCCCATTCATTTCAAATTGTCTTGTTTTTAGAATTTGTTTAGTAAATGTAATTGTTGATATGTGCATTAAAATAAATGACAAGGTGGACTTCTCTAATCGACCAAATTTTTCAGTGGAAATTCACCTATTTAAATGAAACCTATGATGCGATTTGTGTGAAGGACTGGAAGGCAGCTTCGGAATTTCTCAACAGGATGGGAGTCAAAAAATTAGTAAGTGTTGAAACCTACAACATTGGTTCTTCATGATTCAGTCAGTAGTCTGTCATTAGCAGCTCTGCCATCCAATTAAAATATTTACAGTTTGAATTTCGGCCTTATAAAGATGTGTTACTCAGCGACTAGTGAAAACACGCTTGTTCCACATCTTAGTATTTATTTGTAATGTTTGTATTTAGGCAGGTCAAATTAGAAAGTTAGACACAGAACTCAATGTTACTGCCAATTATTCTTTGACATACAATACCTGTTATACCTATTCCTTTGAAACCCCTGCTGAACAAAGAGCTACAGTTACACCTCTCCACCACAGCCCATTTTGTTTGAACCCAGCAACCTTTGCTTCTCCACTTCACTGTCCAACATAGCTTTGGTCGTCCCACTTTCTATTCCCCTGGGAGTTCCAGTCCAACACTTGACTTGTGATGTTGCCCATTTCACTGGGGCATGCCTGATTCATCCCCACTTCCTGGCTTTAAAATCCCTGTCAATAGGCTGTTGCTTTGTGGTTTGCCACTTTGGCATTTTGTCTGGCTACCTAATCTTAAGGGTTTATCATAAACATCTGTCTGTGAATGACTGTAGCCTGTCAGTATTTGCGGTAACCTTTCTGGTCTCTGAGCCCTACGGCAACACTGCTTTAGCATTTTTTGTGAAGGTTCCTATCTTGCTCCATATTGAGTGTAGTGAGTTAAAGGCACATCTAGCCTGGTTGATATGGGTTTTGTATGTCCTCGTCCGCTCCCCCAATTATTCTTTACTTACTTACGTATTTGGGGGTAGTCAGCCCTGAGTTTTTAAAAAAACTTGTTCTGTTTTTAATAGAAATAATAGCTTAAAAAACAAGTGATACTTTATTTACAAGCTAAAATATGTTTATGATATGAAATCCATTTTTTAGAGTATCAAAGGATTAGACACAAATGAACTGGATGCTAGTGATGGTTGGACTGTAATACAAGAAGCTCTCCCTATCATCAAAACATTGGATCAGTTGTACTTTGAGCGTGCTCCTGCATCTGTCTTGGACAGGCTTACAGAGAAGATGCCTAACTTGTTCCACCTGACTGCTGGTGTGATCATAAACAGCAGGTAAATACAAAAATTGATTTAAAACTGTTTTTAAGGTATCTGTCTTAGTCCTTTTTTTTCTGAGGCTACAAATGCTTTCAAACAAAGGCTAGGTTGGTGGTTGGTTTGGTTAATATTTGCTATGTTGATATGTCATTGCGGTTTTGTGTATACAATAGTAATAGTTTACTAACAGTACTAAAAAAAAATTATTATATTCCCAGGGATAATGTAACTAAAAAATCAGCTCCTGAGGCGTCAGAGAAATCAATTGAAAACATGACTCTGGCAGTGGATGCTGTGTTAGCTGGTTCTCTGACAACTCAGGTAGCCTCAATGCTTTATAAAGTGTCAGAGCTGGACCTTATCCAATTGACTCGCCAAAAACAAGGGTTTGAACTCACAGAGGAAGAGAAGAGAGCTGTGTGCTTGTGTTGTTTACGTCTGAGCAGCATGGGCTTCAATGTGACCAGCTCCACCTTTATTTCTAAATGCCATGAAATGATAGCCAGGAGGTTCACAGGCAAGAGATCAAACAACTGCCCCATTCTAATCCCTGACAGCTTTGGCAAGGAAATGTACAACCAAAACGCACCTCTGTTGGCCACACATGTTTTGTTCAAGAGCACAGACACTCTGAGGGACAGCCTAGTCAAACATTTCTCATCCCTCCAGAGGCTGTATCAGAGCTTGTGGATTCGCCTCAATCCTTTAGCTGACCAAGTATTGACTTTTGATGTCTCTGTTTTTAAAATAAAAACCGTTGGCCCGATGGTGTCCAAAAAATTGAAAACTGCTGTCAGCACGTTGTCGCTGTTTTCATTTTTTCAACTCTTTCCAGTTCAGGTAGTTTTACCTGCAGGAGAGACACCACAGGTGTTCCATCCTGACCTGATCATGTCACAGACTAAAGACGGCTTTGCTTCAGATCATCTGGTCACCCAGTATTTAAAATGTGCTGTCAAAAAAATTACATACAGACCATTGGTTATTCTATCTAATGGAAGTGATGAGCTTTTCAGTGAAAGTTTCATTAATGATTGTATTGAAAACTCCATTTATTTATTTCATGTGCCCTCAAATGTTGAACAGTATGTTTTTCCTGGTAGTTTTGGGGGTATTCTCAAATTTATAAAGGGTCAATATAAAACTGATTTCTCAGATCCAAAAAGGTTTGTCAACTTAGCTATAAAAGTCTTAACTGCCAACAAAGGCCAGTTTTATGAAAGTTTGAAGCTTGCCATGAAGATCAGTGGCGCATACCCTTTCAACCCACAAGCACCCAGCAAGTTTCAGAAGTTAAATCTGGAAAAGCCTGTGGGTCAGCAGACGGAGGCAGCCATGAGTAGCTGGACTTTTGATGATGTCAGCAGTCAGATGAACAAGATCATCACAGATGACCTGTATGGGCCCAGCAGTGCCAGCACACCCACTGTGGGCGCAACAAATATCAAAGACATATTTCTGGAGATCAGTGAGACTAGTGGTTCAGAGAGTGAGGCTGAGGTTCCAGTTGCCAAGAAAACTCTCAGTTCTCAAGCAAGCAATAATAGTAAGGTAGACAGCTTGAAGACTGTCCAACCTGGCATGGGATCTGTTGGGGTCCAATTAATTGAGGACAGTGACTCAGACACCTCTGAAAGCATCTCACCTGGTCTGACACCTGTTGAGGTTACCCCTCCTAGCCAGACACCTGTTGTTCCTAAACAAATTAACAATGGTAAAATAGAAAACTTGAAGAACACTCTAGCTAGCCAGAAATCTATGGGTACTAAAAATGAGAAGAGTAAACCAGACAATGAGTGTGTACCAGCTGGGAAGAAATCTGTTGGTCAGTCTGATGAGGAAACATTTGAACAAGATGGGGACATGAGAGAAAACAACAATGTCTTGAAACGTTTGGCCAAGCAGAGGGTAGCAGAGAAGCTGGTGCTGCTATCTAAGAAACGACTGTTGAGAAAGGGTATGAAGGTCACCGCGCTAAAACGGCCTGTGAAAAAACAAGCCAATTGCGTTGACACCAAAAGTAAACAAAGTCAACCGGTTAAAGATGAATCCAAGACTGGGGCAACTCTAAATGTTAACAAGAAGAGTAAGAAAAGCACTGAGCAGAAGATGTTTGAGTTGTATCAGTCAGCTAGGAGCCGGCAAACTACAGGCAGCAATGAGGAGACTGCCCAGAGTGTAGACAGTACTGTCATGCAGAATTTGGAGGACACCATCAGTTCTGTCATAGCCCAGAGCAGGGCAGAATTTAATGAGAAGGCCCAGAAGGCGCAAGCTAAGAAAAAACCTGACAAAAGTCAAAAACCTTCAACTGATGGTCATGATCACATTGAGGTCAAGGCCATTAATGATACAAGTATTATACTAAAGGCACGCAAACTGAAAAAACCTGTGGCCAAAGAGGTGGATGAAAGTGAGGAGGAAGAGGCAGTCGAGAGCATGGATGAATCAGAAAGTGAATCCCAGCCACAGAAAAAGAAGAAGAATAAGAAGAAGAAAAGAAAATCAGAGTTGGTTGAGAAACAAAATGGTCATGTGGATTCTGAGAGTGCTGGGGAGGCTGAGAGTCCAGTTAAAAACAAGAAAAAGAAGAAGAAGAAGCACAAGAAAAAGTCAAAAAACAAGGAGTCCGAGTCTGTGGTGGAGCCGGGGAAAGAGAATGTTATCACTGAGTATTTGAACCATGACGTTGAGATCACCATCCCCACCAGCAGTGTTGTTGTCTTAACTGAGGACCAGGAGAGGCAACACTTGTCTTATGTTTCTTTGTTAGATCACGACTACATCAAAAGAAGCGACAGCATCGTTCCCCTAGAGCCACCATCCAAAACACCCAGCCTGACTGACGTTGCGTCCCAAGAGAAGGCCAGTACTGAGAATGAGAAAAGTAAAGAGAAGGGTGAGGACCAGAGCTCAGACAGCAGCAGTGAGGAGAAAAGTTCCAGTGACTCTGACAGTGACAGCAGTGAGAGTGACAGCAGCGACTCTAGTGACAGCAGTGAGAGCGCATCCTCCAGCGCCAAAAGCAGCGACAGTGACAGCAACTCGGAGGCCAGTGAGAGTGAGGCTAGCAGCAAAGACGGCAGCGATGAAGAAACTAGTCCTGCCAGCAGCCCGGCCAAACCCTCCAGGTCTGGAAAAAGGAAACGGTCCAGCAGTTCGGAGAGTTCCAGCTCAGAGGAGCCTGCCTCGGGAGACAGTGAGAAGGAATCTGAACTGGAAGAAGATGACGATTCAAAATGTCAAATGTGCATGCGGGCTGCCCCGCCGCACTTTAAAGATAAGACCATTGATTGGGTGGACTGTGATGGCAACTGTGGTCGCTGGTTTCATGTCATATGTATCATCAGGTCTCAGTCCAAAGCTGACCCTAAGCATTATGTTTGTCCGTCATGTAAATATGACCACTGATTGGGGTCTAAAATGGGCGGGTTGATATAGGACAGGTCCTTGTGTGGACCTCACAGCTGCTGCTGTTTACAATACTCACATTGTGGCTCCTATGGTGGCCTATAGATGGGCTGCTGACTGCTGGACAAGACTGTCTTCAGACTACCACTACTGGTATGATCAAGATATAGACAGAACTCATCAAAACAGCAGCTAAATAATCAAGAAACAAACACTTTGTAAAGTGTGTCTAAGCTTGCTGACTAGACTTTGCATCTGAGAATAATGGATGTATTTGTAGAATACATAGGATTACAAATGTAAAGTTGGATCTGAATTTTTTTTTAAACCTTGTGTTTTACTGTCTCTATAAGTCAAACAACCTATAGACAAGTCTTCAAAGCTCCAGCTTATTTCACCTTTGGTGCCAATCTGGAAATTACATGAACATATGTAAATTTTATGAAAATAGGATTGGAAATTTTGTATCTTCTTTTGTATTTGTTAATGTCAGCAAGTTTTCAAAGTGTAATGAATATGTCTGAAGGATAATGTTTTTAATGCTATCATTAACTAGATCTTAAGTGTGCTACTTATCTGGACAAAAGCTTTTGTTTCAATTGTAAAAATGGTGATTCTTTTTCTTAATTATTGACATTTTAAATCTAGTAATCTGACCTGTTATTTTTATCTTAAAATATCCATAAATATAATTAGTTACATCTTGATAATTAGATGCTTTGTTTTCCAAGGATTGTATGAGAAAGCTATTTGACTACTGCAAAAAAATGGTGGTTTTTTTCTGTCAGCTTTTGTTAAGAGGTAATTTTTATTTGTGAGAAACTGAGCAACTTTTGTACATTTCTGTATATAATTTACAAAGACATTTTTAATTAGAAAGATTTGAAGATTCTTAATCCCTTGTAAATTACCCAGTGTCAAAAATAGATCATGTCTAAAGAGGGGAATTTTTTTAAACAGAAGAAATGCTACATTTATGGAACAAATGTATTGTGAAAAAAATTAAAACATTTTTTTTTTATCATCCTGTATTTAAACTCAAGTACACTAATAATAAGAAAATGCTGAAATTTTCAAACTTTTTTTTTTATTGATTTTTATAGATCAAATGAAAAATGTGTTTATTAAAATCACCAAAATGTATGAATCATTTTTTGTAAATTACAATCATTACTGTGTTTTCATTTGAAAGAATTTTGTCATTATATCTTCAGTTGTTGGAAATATTTTCAGTCACATCTACAAATTAGCAGCTTTTCCCACTTCTAGTATGAGTGCATGCAAGGACTTTATATGTGAACACTTTTCTATTGAGTAAAAAATTAACTTATTGTGATAAAATTTAGCATTTTTAAACCATTTCATACATAAATGTATCCACTTTGTTGACCTTTTTCTGTTGAAAAAATACTGAGCCTGTACATAGATGAAATGAGTTTTTCAACCTTGTTGACATGAGACATTGCCATAATAAAACATGTTTGACACACACTGAACTTTGTTGTGTTCGTGGTCTTGTTAGTTAGCTACATCTGCTCAGGTTTATTTTAAATTTCTTTTCCTTGGGAATATCAAAGTAAACGTGCTACTTTCATTGATTTTATGAGGTCCTGTATCTAATAATAGTATCAGCTCCCTAGTATAGCTGTGAGGTAGGTTTTACTACAACACAGCTGTTTCTCGTTACAAGGTGGGGGGGGGGGGGCGAACACAGCTCTGGTTTATAGAGGTCACTTGACTGACGTTGTGTTATCCATAAAGATGTACTGCGGCACAGCTGTTCTACTTCTCGTGTGAAAATATTTTCTTTAAGCAGACATACAAAGAGCAACAATCGGTCTGTGTTCCTTCATTATAAGCCTGCATTACATTTGGTTATACGGCAGGCATGAGATAGGTTGTCATTAAACGGTTCCGCTTCAGGACTATAGCACGATAACAAAGTTCTACTTTCCCTTTTTTTTCTTTAAAACTTACACAAGAAAGTTTAATTTTGACCGTACCGGCACTGTGTGTGCTGTGCTGGTCTTGACTCTAATCTAGGTTAGAAAAAGAATACAAGTTACTACTTGAAGTTAACCAACAGCTTTGTTGTCAGCTGTCTGAGCTAAGATGGAACCAGCTATCATAGTACACGGCGGAGCTTGGGCGATACCCCCGGAGTTCACGGAGAGGAGCTTGGCGGGGGTGAGGGCGGCCTCGCTCAAGGGCTACAGCGTGCTGAAGGCTGGGGGCAGCGCGGTGGATGCCGTCGTTGCCGCCGTCACCGTCATGGAAGACGACACCGTGTTCGATGCTGGTAGGTTATTTATAGTACAGCTCTGTTTCACGCCGGCCATTTAACACGCCATGCTTTTCCGGTGAGGGGGGCGCACTGCCCAAAGCACGTCTACCCCCCCCCCCCCCCCCGACGATGTAGAATTTATTTGTAAATATATACTTTAACCAATTCCGTCCCGAAAAAACTTAGCCCCTCCCCCCAGTGTTTCTTCCATACTTTTTTCTCCGGGGGGGGGGGGGGGGGGCACTTGAAATTTTCGGGGGGGGGGGGGGGGGCTGTAGACTTTCTTCGGGGGGGGGGGGAGGGGCGGACACTGTTAAAAGTATATATTTTCTATATAAATTATATAAATTTCATTTCGTTCGGGGGGGCGGTATAAAATTTCGGGGGGGGGGGGCTTGGCCCCTCCGAAGAGATGCCTGAAAGAAACTCTGCCTCCCCCCTCCCCGGGGGGGCACTTGATATTTTCGGGGGGGGGGGTGGACATTAGTAAAAGTGTATGTTTACTATAAAAATTCCATCTCGTTCGGGGGGGGGGGGGGGGGGGCGGGTAGACTTTCTTTGGGGGGGCTCCAAAGAGATGCCTGGAAGAAACTTCCCCCCCCCCCCCCCCCCAACCATATTGAAAAAAAAATTTATTAACAAAATGCCAATAATCAAATGATGAAAATACACAAAATAATCCTATCTTGTAGGCCATGGAGCTGTCCTCAACTTGAAGGGTGATGTGGAGTTGGATGCCATTGTGATAGATGGCAGCACACTCAGCTCTGGTGCAGTGGCGGGTGTACAGGACATGGCAAATCCCGTGCAGTTAGCTCATCTGGTTATGGAGAAGGTATGCCTATCACTGGGTCACGCTCATGTAGTAGGTTATATACTATGGCCGTTTGGGTAGGGTTACAAGTTACAGCCTGTTATGTTGGAGCGACAGTAGCCAGTGTTTCTTTAAGACATTTTTTATCCAGGGGAAGGGGTGTGTATACTGGCTTATGTATTTAAATTGTATTTTTTTTATTAAGTTCGGAGGGGGGGGGGGGGGGGTTGGACGTACTTCGGAAGAAATGTCTGAAACAGTGGCCCTCCAGAAATTAAAGGTCATCCATAAACATCGGGCTATATTTAGCCAAATCTATTAAAATGTTCCTCAACTTTTCTAACCCTCAGAGGCTTAGCGACCCTTACCGGCGCCCGGGGACAAACTTTCAATTTGCCCCCCCCCCCCCCCCATATATTTTTTATATTTATAATGCACCCCAGGACATATGTACCCCCCCCCCCCCCCCCCCCCCCCTCGCTACATCTCTGCTAACCCTAATTAGTTTTCTCAAACATTTTCATTTTTAAGAAATTGGGAATGTTCATCATCACATAACCACCACTACCACCTCCCAACACTTTCAAGTAGGCCTTCCTGATATGGAATGTCCCTCCCCTTACTTAAGCTTAAATAGTTAAAGTATTGAAATCACTCAGTGCCCTAGCAATTGGTCAATAGGTTCAGACTGAGTCAAACTATTTTCATCATAATTTGTGTTCAATGTGCATGAAGAGCAGGTAACAAACTAACTTATGAAAGTTTCCTTGTGAGTCTGCCAGAAAAATTAATTTATATACTGATTGAAACACGTCTCCACAAATACAGACAGACCATTGCCTTCTGGTAGGACTAGGAGCCAATGCATTTGCCGAGGAACAAAACATTCCCAGACTCAACAAGTATGAGCTCGTAACAGATGAAGCAAGGGCTGAATGGGAGAAATACGTCAAGTTCTCTACAACAGTCAATGCTTTGTTCTCAGCTAGGTAGGCCTGTAGATTGAGTTGTATTTTCTTGAAATACCTCTAACACATTAGTGTCTTATGGGTTGTTTTAAACAACACTGTGCTTTTTAAACCATTAACTCCTTCATCCCCATGATATAGAAAGCCAGACTCTTCCCCTAAAACAAAGTTACACCTCAGCCTACTAACCCCTCAGAGGTGTAGCTAGGGGAGGCCACCGACCTTAGAGGTGCGCTGAAACAAAACCTGTTAAAGTGATAGGGATTTGGTGAAAAAAAAGTACCCCCCCCCCCCCAATAGAAAAGTCAGGGCGATTTTTTGACAATGTTAACAACTGTACTATACAAATGAGGGGGGGGGGGGCAGAAAGTTGAAAGTTCGCACCGGGCGCCAGAATGGGGGTGCTACACCTCCCCCCCCCCCCCTTCTCAGAATAGCAAGTTTTTTTTCTTTAAAACGAGTTCTTCCACACAAAACACAACTTTTTAAAATGCAAAAGTTTTTCATCACACTTTCTGAACATGCAAGGCCAGACGCATCACCTGCTAAGAGTGTGAAGTCTTTTATGGTCAACCAGTTCATCCCTGCTTAACACTAATTTAACTATAATTATTGTTTGTTTTATAAAGACAAGAGACGATGAAATACCCTGGCTGTGATACAGTTGGAGCAGTTGCAATAGACAGTAAAGGAAACCTAGCTAGTGCCACCTCCACAGGGGGAATAACTGCCAAACGTCCAGGGCGTGTGGGAGACACACCTATTATAGGTAGACAACTATTGCTAGCTGTAGTAATGACAGAGGGAGGCGTGATCAAGCACATGATTACTAACATTGATTAGATGAAGTCGAGTTCAATCCACAGGCTTGTATAGTATATCACTGAGTTCACTCAGCCATGGCAAGTACCTGACATAGGTCAGGAAAGTAAAGGGGGCTGGGCATAGTGCTGACCACACCATCCTTTCATAGGTATAACTTAGCATAGATATAAATCATAGTAACTTGAGTAACATATTAAAATTTAAATCCTCTCCCCCAAATACCATCATACATTATTATAACAAGAGCTTGACATTTTTTGATACTTAACAAGTTGATACAATCTGTTGCCTACAGGAGCTGGTGCTTATGCTGACAATGAGATAGGAGCATCTTCATCTACTGGGCACGGGGAATCCATCATGAAAGTGAGTCTCACACGCAGAGTTGGAGAACTCATAGAAAAAGGTATTTTTCAATTTCCATATAACTATTACTCATTTTACTATGACTGATAGCAAATGAAGATATTTTAAGTGTAATGCTTTAACTTCTTTCAAAAAGGTTTTGACCAGTTATAAGAAGAATAATAGAGTACACTTTGTAAAATGGTTGTTCAAAATATTTAATTTACACTTTCAAGTGTGATACCTAATCCCAACATTGTTTAGCAAGATTGTAAATTTACTCTATTAACACAATTATGCTTAGGTTAATGCTTAATATTTTCCTATTTCATTAGTAACATTTATTACATCACTGTAATAGGTTTGACAGCTGAGCAGGCATCCCAGGCAGCATTAGACTACATGAAAACAAGAGTAGGGGGTGCTGGGGGTGTAGTCACCATAGACAAGGCAGGCAGTGTAGCCCATGCTTTCACCACCAGCAGAATGGCCTGGTCTCAGGTCACTCAAGAAAAACTCTCCTATGGAATAGATCCAGGAGTTGTGTTTAGTGACAGTCTGTGAGTGTGAAAGCACTGGATTCATTTATTAAACAAGCCAAGAATGTTTTGTATTGTTCAATTATGCACTTACACAAAAGAAACGTCAAAATCGTAACCACCAGTATTAAAGTGCCTACACTTAGGGATCACCCTTTTGAGTCTTCCTCAAAAATTCTGAAATTCAGACCTCCCCCCATCCCCCATATGATGTGGACGTCTGCAAAAATGTATTCCTTCTGAAAGCTGTCTTTCAATATATTATTTGAAAACAATGTATTGTTCATGAATACTCTGCAATACTAATAACTTATACAGTGATTTATTCTTTTTGATAAAGTGTTATCAAATAATATTAAATGTAGAATATGGAGGAATGTGTTTAGAAAAATATTTTGTTTAAAAAGTATAAAATTAAATGGAATAAAGATCTAACTCTATGAAAAGCATTATATTTATATTGAGTTTTTTCATGTCCATCAAAAACTTAAGCTCAATATAAAATATTTGTATGTTCACTATTGCATCTAAGGGCATAAATTATGTAACACCCGGAGGGGGTTGGACTTAAGTGTCTGTGATGGTAACAATCATATGTTTGCATTTCTTAAAAATAATTATTTAAACTGAATTGATCAATATCCAACATGGATCAAGCTTAATATATATTTAAGTTTTTAGAAAGAAAATGCCATTTCAAGTAAACAAATTTGTAAGGTTGAACTGTGGCATTGTAAGGGGGAAAAGGGGTGTTCTGAAATTTAGTGATGATGGGGTAGGTAACCCCTCTGTAGAGGCGTCATACATGGATGACTCACCACCTTACTTAAGTAGCGATCAAGACACTGTGTTTGAAATGTTGATAAACATTCATGAATAGACAAAAATTGAATTTGATGTAACTTGTAAAGTTATAAGTTATGATTTAGTATGAGTAAAAGAAAATCAGTTGGGTAAAATTGTGGGATGACATTTTCTGGCAGTCCAGATCACCAATTGCTAACCAAAAATCTGCCCAAAGATGACAGGTACCTGACCCACATTAAGGAAAGTAAAAGCAACTGGGCATACAATTGATAAACAGATGAACTCTACTTCATAGGCTGCATTGACTGCGCTGAAACTACTCAGATTTCCAACATGAAAGTTAAAACCCAATAGCAATTAATAAAACTGCTCACATACAAAACAATTTTTTCATGCAATTTGAATCTTCAATGACATAAGTAACAGGACAAATAAGCCCACTCTTTCCAATTTATAAGTATTTATAAAAACGCAAGAAGTAAGCAATTATCTCATGTAAATTTATTAATAAAATGTATTTTATTTAACATACACAAGTTGTTGAATAAAACGATGTTTTTGTCCAATTCAAGTTTGTTTAATTAAATTTTAATAATGTTTTGATGATCTAAGAAAATTAACAGAAAAAAATAATCAACAGTGGATAAAGCAAATCTTGTGATGAAAATAACACTTATTTACTTGTACTACATTTATACCCTTTTTAATTATACCTAATAGTAGTGCCCGTTCAGTCACAATAATTAAAATATTTATTGTACACACTCTTGATAACCTAGCTTAAGCTGCAATTGGGTAACTTCTTCAGATTAAATAGCCAACAAACATACAAATTATAACTGTTTTCAAAAACTATTTATCAGTAACAGCACAAGCAATATTTTTCTTTTTAGAAAATCTGTTTTTGAATTTTTCTTTTCTTTGTTGTTTCTCTGCATCTTTCTGTTCTTTTGTTTTTCCATCCTTACGTTTGAGAATCTTTGCTAACCTTTCCTCTTCTTCTTTTTCAGGATCCCTTCCCTCTAAAATAAGCTTTTTTCTTTTATTAATCTGTCTTTTCTCACCAAAGTCTCTTTCATCCAAACGTATTTCTGCTTCTCTTCGAGATACAGCAACTTCAGTAAGAAGCTTCATTACTTCTTTCTCATCAGTTGTATGTTCTGTCAACTTTGTGTTTATGTAGGATTCAATAGATTTCGTGAGATGGACATCAAACTGGGTGACGAGAGTGACAGCCATGCCACCACGACCTGCTCGAGCTGTACGACCCACACGATGAACGTAATCTCTTGGACGATTAGGTACGTTGTGATTAATGATCAGGTCAACAGTTGGAATATCCAAACCTCGACTGGCAACATCAGTTGCAATCAAGATTTTGACTTGATCGGATTTAAATTTTGTCAGACCAGATAGACGAAATTTCTGTGGTAACATTGAGTGTAAAGAAACACAAGGAAATCCTAGATCCTCACACATCATTGCAAGAATCTGTGCATATTTACAAGTGCTTGTAAAAATGATAACTGAACTTTTTGGATGTTCTGTTGTGTAAGTATCTAGGATATGCATGAGATAAGCATCCTTAACATCTGCATTCATTAGCACATAGCGTTGATCAAGTTCATCAACAGTCATTACATCAGCAGACTGAGACCAAGAAAACACTTTCTCTTTAGAAGATTCTTGAAGTTGCCTAATGGCTGGGGTCATAGTTGCACTAAAAAGAAGTGTTTGTCTTTTTTCTGGCAACTTCTTAAAAATGATCTCCAGCTGTTCTGCAAACCCAGTATCTTCAAGTAACCTATCTGCTTCATCCAGGACTAAAAATTTGATTTTCTTCAAACTAAATGTATCACAACTTTCATAATGATCAGCCAAGCGACCAGGGGTTGAAACAACTATGTGAGGTTTAACAGTTAAATCCTGACCTTGTCGAACCATGTCCATACCACCAGTAATGACAGTTACATTAATGTTTATTTCTTTACCCAACACTTTAAATTGATCAGCTATCTGAAAGGCAAGTTCACGAGTAGGTGTAAGAACAAGTGCGTATGGACCATACCGATCTTCTGAGAGTTTTTGTAAAATTGGCAAAGCAAAAGCAGCTGTTTTGCCACTGCCAGTTTTGGCACACCCCACACAATTTTGTCCCTCCAGGATAGGTGGTATGCAATTCTTTTGAATTGGTGAAGGTTTACTAATCCCCATCGCCTCGCATTGTTTCCCAAGCCACTCATCCAGACCTAAATCGTCAAATCCTGCCATTGTTAGATCTAGAAATTAAATAACTTCACAATATAAACAGTTCCACAACTAAGACAGTACAACAGTAGTTTTGTTTTCGCAAGCAGCCATGTGTATTGCCGAAGTGGTTTATGGGATAGGTAAACAGGAAGTCAGCTGTGACATATCGAAAACAGATTATTCTTTACTTGTAGATGTATTGTAAACTATACACTCCCTGTTTCAACTTTGATTTTGTTCGTGGTCTCGTTAAGCTTGGATCTTAAAATGTCTCTTTTCCACTGTAGATATCTAATTTTAGCAGACTTCCATTTGTAACCAATAAATACGCCAAAGCCAAACGATAATAAACACAAAAATATAGTGTCCTTTCCTTCTAACGCCGCGGCACCCATGGTGATGTTGAATACTAGATTCTACTTCGATAACCTTGATAATCGAATATTCCTTACAAAGGGAAGTAAACACAAAATAATTTTCGCACCAGTTTCGCACCGAATTAGGTTTGCCTAACTAACTTTGTTACTCAAAATACATTTTATTTAATTAAAGATAACTAATGTTTTTAAAATTGAGTTAAAAACCGTTTATAATAAACCTTTTTTTTCTATAAAATAACTAGCCTTTTTGGCTAGGCTTTGAGCAATTTAAAGCGATGTCCAAATTTAAATGTTAATGCACGTGTCGTATGTAGAGTATGTGTTTTAAGAAAAATTAAAGAGCATTAGGCTACATATTACATATTATTGATACGCTCAAAACAATAACAGCACGTGTTTTTGAAAATTAACCCACACATTAAATACCATTCCTTGTTATCACGGCAAAACACCATAACAATAAACATCAGTCAAACCATTAAACAGAATACCGCTTGTTACGTAGTTTCACTCTCTCGGTGAGCAACATAAATTAATATACAAACATAAAATATTGGAATAGTAAAATCAGTACAGTAGCGTAGCTAGGGGGGGGGCGGGAGGGGGGACATATGTCCCCGGGCGCCGACCTTAGGGGGTGCCAAAATGGATTGGAGAATAAATTGAAATGTTGAGGGAGGTGCACATTGAAAGTTTGAGGGGGGGGGGGGGGGTGCAAATCGAAAAGTTTGTCCCCGGGCGGCGGGAGGGGTCGCTACGCCTCTGAATCAGTATCATGTAAGAGTAGGCCTATATAGATTTTTACATCGTAATAGCAAACATTTGCAAAGCGTAACATTAAACGTAAACTATTTTTTAATATAAGAAATTGTAACAGACCATGTATACATACATCACGTGTATACTACAAAAATAAAAGCGACCAGAACGTATTACATGTTAAATAATATGCACAGAATTATCACTAATATTAATATTTATAATACCCAACTTAAAATAAGCTGATAACTAAAATCCAAAGTTAATTTTATCCAAAAAGTGACAGGTTTTACCTGGATGTTACCCAACACTGAACCCACCCGGTCATTAGACCCCAGATCAATTAGCTCCTCTCAATTACCACCCTGTGTAAATACCCCACTAAAGAATACATATTATAACAATAACCATCTCCAGTTCCCTAACCCTATTTTGTAATTGAAAAACAAATGCTTATCCTTAATCTTCACGTTATCTATATTCTTTATAATATCGTTATTGTTACCGTTACCCTAACCGGTGAGTTACCGTTACCCTAACCAATGGTAACTGTCAGGGGGGGGTGACAGGACAAATGATCTCAGGACAAATGATCTCAGACAAAATATCTCACGGACAAATGATCTCAGGACAAATGATCTCAGGACAAATGATCTCAAGGACAAATGATCTCACGGACAAAGGATACCAGGACAAAATATATCAGGACAAATGATACCATGGACTATTGATCTCAGACAAAATATCTCAGACAAAATATCTCACAGCAAAATTTTAATAGTGTATTTAATAGTTGATCTGAAATGTTTTTTTATACACTGTCATACGATTTTGTTTACTATGTTTATATTGTTTATAGGCCTATATACTAATTGTGAGAAATGTTAGCCGTATACATTTGTCATATTGCACTAAAGATTTTAAAATTGAGATTACTAATATAGTATGCGAAGATTAAAGACATTTTTCAATAGACAGCGTAGGTGGGCTTGCCAAAAATGAGACAATCCTATTATGTCAGGTGGACGAAACTACATCAAAAGGGAATGAAATAACAATAAAGACACACCTTCGTATCAAGGTGGCCGCCCGCTTTGATGGCAGAGACATGCCTTAAGGGAAAGACATCCGCCCTCCATGGACAATACAACTAGCATCTAAAGTCAATAGTTATGCGTCGGTCACACCTTAGTGATCAGGTGACCAATACTTATTTAAACGACAGCAGTAATCGCGGAGCTAAGTATGTGTAGTGTGCATGCAAACAAAGCAGCAGTAGTGGTGATTACTCAGCTATGGCCTCTTTTGTTAACTGGTGAATTTATAAAAGCCATAAGTGGAGCAGCAGACAAAGAGATTTGGAAATGTGCAGTTAGAAAATGTCGCGCAAGAGTTCACGTAATATTGGAGAGGTGTGATCATAACGGTGTACCAGCAAAGAAACGTAAACGTTATGTTTGTGTTTGTGATCCAATAAAAACAATAGTTTTACGTTATGAAAATGAAGACATATTCACACTTTTAAAAAAAATATTTCGCGTGTTTTTGAACATTAATGTTGTATAACTACCGTTACTTTATTTGTTTTATACATTATAGTTTATTATACCTTTCAGGCTAAAGGAGTAATATTGTTTTAATTTTTACTTTTTCACACAAATGCTATTACAAAGGTTAAGTTTAATAAATCTTTTGATGCTTTGTTAAGCTTAACAAATTCACTGTATTCACAATTTTTCTTCGTAAAAAAGTAAACAAAACCATATTGACAGTAAATTTTAAAAAGTTCAACTAAAATCATCGAACATACTATTAAAATTTTGCTGTGAGATATTTTGTCTGAGATATTTTGTCTGAGATCATTTGTCCTGAGATCATTTGTCCGTGAGATATTTTGTCTGAGATATTTTGTCTGAGATCATTTGTCCTGAGATCATTTGTCATGGAACCTATATGGGGGTAATTAATTTCCTGCACTTTTTGGGTTGGTGTAGTGTTCTGTGAGGTGGGGTAATTGGACTGGTGGTAATGACGTTGTTTAAATTGACACGGGGGGGGGGGGGTAATTGATGGGAGGGGGGTAATATCAAGATTTTTTTTAAGCACCTCCTACCAAATTGTGTAACGTTAAGTAACCTCTCATTAGGCCACAACACCTCTGTATTTTTTTTGGGCTTTGCACCCCACCCCACACAAACCACGACCAAATTTTAATTTAATACAACAAAGTAGGGCCTATGGATTTTTAAAACAAAATCGCATCGTTTTAAAGACTGATGTTTACAATAAATCCTCAAGATAAGATGGCCAGACAAATGTCAATGGAAAACCAGTGGCAAACCACAAAGCAACAGCCTATTTAGAGAGGGATATTAATATATACGAGCCGCCCGCGGTGTATCATACGCCGCTATTAAGTTGTTTTATTTTCTACTTGTCAGTAATTCATAATTTGTGAATTCGACAGTACCAATGCTGCCACTGAAAATATTTGCTTTAAATACTATCAGTTGGTCGTTAAGGACGACCCCCCCCCACCCTCATTTCCCCCCAACCCCTACCCTACACCCCCCCCCCCCACCCGTGAAAGCAGCCTCCTCTTAATTACCTCCCCTAAGTTTAAAATAGTTTCAAACTAAATTATCTGCCCCTAATAGGAGTCACTAAACCCGGCTCTATGATTGTAAACATTTAGCGTGAACCACAGCTCACCAGACCATGTGGGGGTGGGGGGGGGGGGTTGATTTATGCCTAGTGAAGAAGAGAGGGGACTGCAAGGCGCGCTTACAGCTTGTTTTCTAGCGTCTCCGAGAAGAGAATTATATAAATAGATAGATAGATACACGAATACACACACATAATTTATCATCAGCTGTTCATGTGATAAGGACACTGTTAATAATTACAATGTTGGAAGTGGAAACTCTGATGTCTCAAGTATTTTGTGAAGATTTTAGGACAAAATTATTCCAAAGATATTTTATTGACGCATCAATCTTGCCAGCATAGCTCGTCGAACAAATAACAAAATTCACCCAACAATCAACAAAATTCATCACGCAATAACCAACAAGATTCATTCCACAACCAACAAAATCCGTCAAACATCTAATATTCCTTTCACTCAACTAGTAGTCTTGATTTACGTGTCAAGTTTGAAACTAATAGGTTCGGTAGAAGTGTTTGAGAATTCGCTCGTATGTTCCGAACAGTCAAAAAAAAAACAGCAGACAGAGGAATCCAGTTAAATAAAAGCTTTTAAAAAGTACAATTCTAACTATATTTAAATACGAAGATAAATTCTCTGTTTTTAATGCACTTTTCATTCATTCCCCCCTTCTCCGGGTTCTCCATAAATCAAAACATTTGTCAGGATGAAGATGCACATGAACCTGATAATAAAGATTCATGTTGACTGTGTTCAACTTTACTTGTTTTCACAGAATAAGTAGAAATTATGTAATTATAGATGTTATAATTAATATATTGCATTTATATAATTTAGAATATGCATTTAGCAATATAAGAGTGTATCTACATAAAGACACTCAAAAGTAAGTTAGTTACACGCAAGACTGTAATTGACTACATTACAACACATGCGTTTCTTATCACATTTGAGTTACATCATTTTTTTATTGCATCCCACTTCACAAACTAGGCTTGACTTTAGTTCAAGGTTATCTTCTGCGCCTCTCGTGGTGTTACCTGCACGCGTACACTACTTGCTACTAGATTCTAGTGTTTGTAGTAAACTGTACTGTAAACATTTTTTAAAAATCACCTCATTGATCTGATATCGATTGCTTAACCTTTATAATTTTTTTGCTTTAGAACGTTTAATTGTAGGCCTACGTTTTCCGGGTTAAATATTAAATTGATGAAAAATAACGTTTCTAAATGTGTTGTTACATTATATTTAAATTTGCAAACCCAAAATGTGAATGCTTACAGTAAATTCCCATATCCCTCTATCGCTTACATTTTGACACGCAGCTAAGGACACCTAAAGGTTACAACTAAAACCTACTTTAAAAAGTGAATATGGCCTTCCAAGTTTTATACTTTTGTATTTTAAGTATCAGTTGTTCGTCTTACAAGCAAGGCTAAGCCGCATTTGGAAAAGTTGTTTTTTTTTTTTTAAAGCAAGAATGAAATTTTCTCCAACATATTTGAATACAAATAATTTAATGTAAGGGGCTTCGAATGTATCTAAAAAAATATAACCAGTGATTAAATTTTGTCTGACTGTCCTGATTTGAAAAAATTTCAAGTGGCTGTCAAGCTGGTTTGGTCGTGAGGGGGTTAATGGGAAAATATGTAGGCCTATAGCAACATACAAGTTCAGAAGAAAAATACATAAAAGGCATTTCTTGTAAGTGTATTTAGAGTCATTTTCCCACTGATTGTGGGTTTAATAGTATTTAGAGCAAATTTAGCGAGTTTGAAATCCCTGAAATTCCGTAGATTTTGAAGTCGGTACAATTAATAGGCTACTTGATAAATTCGTAGAGCTTAAATACAAGATCCACCTGTTCGCTTAGATATAGGTTACTCTACTGCGATCAAAGTACACCCACCTGTAGGATTAACGGTTCAAAGGTTAGACGTCCTGTTATCACCTGACGATATATCGAGACCAAACGATCTTGTATCGTCATTTGACAGTGAAGGTCGACTCGCACGGTGCAATCAAATCTCCCCCAGCACAAGGTAAGAGAAGCCACGATTCCTCTAGATATAGATCTAGATCTAGTTCTTCTTTTCATACATCTTCATGATTTTGGCAACCTGATTACTTTAATCACGACGTTAAATCGTAGACATGATACTTATACTTATTTCAAACCTTTTTTTTAAATAATCAGACAAACAGCTTAACATTTTAAAAATTCTTAATTTTGGTGGGTAAAAATAATATTGTTGCATTTAGGAAAATTAATTTACAATAGTATTTACAAGTTGAAATAGTAGCTTATCTTCCCTCTTTAGTCTTTTAAATTTGATGTAATTTGCTATTTGATACATTTTAAGACATAGATGATGATAAGAGGTATCTAATTTGGCGTTAAACAGGTAAACAATGGTGTAGGCAAGATTTTATTATGAGGAAATGGTGTTTCATTAAATTTAATGACATTCACAAGTTCGCCAATGGCTTAATGTGAGACAGCACATTTTGGGGGTCCATGGTGAGGGTTCTAAGACAAAACCCTTGACACGCCACCTGTGGTAAACTTTAGAAACTACCTTCCCCTGTTACTAGCATTGGCACAATTTTTTTCTCTGTCCTCAGCTTCTACAATGGCCCTTGAAGGTACTCACTCTACAACCACCGTTGCCCTAGTTGTCGCAGCTAGCGCTGTTGTCGCATTTTTGGTGGGCTACAAACTCGGACAGAAAGGTTGCTGTTCAAAGAAATGATCTTTTAGCCCGTTTTAGGTACGTTGACTTGACTTTATAAATAGTGTTGCTGATAAAATGTTATTTTTTAAAGTGTTGTTTGACTTAAGAATTAAAAAAAAAAGCTTTAAAAATACATTTAGGATCAACAGAATTTGTATTTCTTTGGTCACCTTTATCTACTTATCGCTTTAAATTATTGATTAAAAAAGCTAACTCTGGATACAAGGTTTTTCATCCGCCTCAAACACACACAAATATTAAAAAGCTTGATTGTGATTTAATCTTATTTAGGCTAATTTAAATTAATGAAGATTTAAAGTGTCACTAAATCATAGTATATATCAAGTAGTGAGACCATTCTAACAAAATAAATTGTATTACTCCCTAAAAAAATTTAAATAAAATTAAAGTGTATTAGGCCTACTCCATACCCAAACTCCATCTTTGTATGTGTAGGTTATCAGCAACGTGCTGCCCTGTCGTGGACCTACATTTTTAATCTTTCTTTCCTACCATAGATATTTTAGATATGTAGACCCTGGTAGATATATCAGCGTTGTGTAGCCCTATTGTAGCCCTATCTTAGTTCTACGTGAAGTCCAACACTTAAATTAGAGAGATTTATCGTAGCCCTACGTGTAGCCCTACACTTTTAACTCTGCCAGATGTACCAGTGTTGTGTAGCCCTAGTGTAGACCTATCCTCGCCCAACGTCGTCCTACACTATTTAACTTTCCCCGATGTAGCAACGTTGTACGGCCCTTATTTAACAGAGCCGGGCGTAATGATCCACCCAGCGTGGGCCATGTCACGTAGACTTGTCTAATCTTGGGATTATCTCTTCACAGGTCAAGCTGCTATTGCGTGGATCGAGTATGTGGCACATGAATGCAGAGGACACACGAAATGATATCTGTGATATAAAAGCTCTATGACAACGTGTGAATGATTGCAGGCGGATGAATTATTTTTATGAATGAAATACTTTCTTCGATATGTGACGGATGGTCTAATACAATTTTTAAGTAAAAATATTTGATCGATTTCTTTTTATTTGATTAGTTAGTGTTGTTGTTATTCAATGTGCTGGGTGTTTTTTTTTTACTTCGACATGAATGACATACGGCATTACTTGCTGAAATTGTGGGCGTGGCTCGAAGATTGTCCTACACCCTGTGGTTAGTGGTTCAGCTATAAAATTACGTCACACTCAAATAGGTAGGGGATATCGTAATTTCCTGACGATTGTGAGAGGGGAGGGGGGTGGGGGTCAGATAGTGTGGCGTCACACTTTCGTATTTAAAAAATACTAATGTTAGAAACTGAATTTTAGGCGTTATATCGCGCTTTAGAAACTGAGTAAATTCAAATAGAAAACATTATCAATAAACTCTGTGTGCTTACCGAGCTAAGTCAATATTTTAGAAATAAATCGATATTTTAAAAAATAAATACTGCAATTTTTTAGGGTGGTTGTAGGTTGTGTGACGTTATTTTAGGGGGGGGGGGTCTGGCTTTTTGCAACGACGTGTGACAGAGTGGAGGGGTGGGGTAAAATCGTCAAATAAAGCGTGACGTCATTTATGGATGATCCCTTAGCTGAAATTTAAAATCACGGGAAATCTCGTTTAGCGGATTAACTTTACTTTCTGATATTTAGCCTGGTAGTTAAGATCACCAATATCCCCCCCCACACACACACACACAAACAAACACACAATTTTCCTGCTGCACTGTTACGGTAGTTAACTAGTCAGAAAATGTCTATAAATCGATAATTTGTGAGTTTCTGCTTTGCTGTGTCGACCGTGACAGATCGCTGCTGGGTTATTTCCCCTAGCACACAAGGGAAATAATCAATAATTTACACAATCAATAGAACTTTCAGATCGAACTCCTCACTTGAACAGGGTATATTTAGCATAGATTAGCTGATAGTTCTTGTCAAATTTTTCTGACACTTTCCCACATTGTTTAGCCGTTGCTCCTCTGTAGACCGGTCAAATTGTGTTTGAGATCGTCAATTATTGACGTGCGCGATTTTAGAATATTTTACCCCCACCCCCTGTGGCCCTCGTCACAAAAGGCCAATCCACCACCACCCTTAAAAACCACTATACTAACGAAAAAATAACTTTTAAAAAATAATTTTGTCATTAAGAAATATATAATAAACGCTGCGTCAGATATTTTAAAGCTCCCCTTCTTAAGTAACGTAACGCCACTAAAAATTAACTTATATCGTACCTTGATTTGTGACGTCATGTGGACACAGCTATATCTGGACCAAATTCGAATGTTCTCGTCTTTGAAATCAAATCAACATTTAGATTTATCTTTTAAATGTATTTCTGCAGCATGACATAACATTTATAAAAGTGAACAGTAGATGAGTGTTCAGTATTTTGTAATAGTTCAACGATAGGTATAAACATTTGATAAAAATATGAATTTTTGTGATACATTAACACTTAACATTTGAAACATTTGTAAAAAATTATATACTTAAAAAAAAAAATTTCGCACCAGAATAAGTGGTTCCCTTTGGCTTCTGCAATTTAATTATTTTAATCGGTACTTCAACCGTTTTGGTTTAGAGCTTATTGCATAGCATAGTGCCGGATAACAACATTCCAGATCATATTTCACTCAAATTGATGCTTGATCAAGTTCCTCGGTGGTGTAGGTGGAGGGCACATGACACCAGCAGCGTCACAAGGCGGGATCTCAGGGTGGTGACACCATTTGGGGGGGGGGGGGTCGGCACCAAATCGAAAAAATCGTAAAATATACTGTAAGTACAAAGTTTTTAAAATTAAAATAATAAAATGGGTGAGATAACACCAAACCGAAAATGTAAAATTGTTGGGGTTGGGGGTGAAACCCTCATTTACCGCACCGGGTGACACCCGACGACCTAGCGACGCCACTGCATAATACTTAACCCATCTCGGTATAAAAACAAACACGCCTGTCATCAATTAAAGCTGAAACTTAAACATAAACACTCTCGTCTGTTTAGTCGTCTGCGAGATGCGGTCTCACAGGCAGGAACAACGTTAGCACAAACTGCAACGGCGTTCCGAAAACGGTCTTGAAATTGTCGTACACAGTTCGCTTTTGGTAGAGTGTTATCCCTCTGGATGCCTCGTAAGACGTCTGCCCTTTGAGTATGATGTACGTCTGGCAGCTGATGAACCCCACGGAGGCGAACAGCGAGACGGTGCTGAGGTACATGTGGACCAGGATGCAGAAGTAAAGCTTGGGTGCCTGTCCGGTGACCGTCTTCCACATGGCCACCAGGGGGATGAAATAGGTCAGGTTCTCCTGCTGGAAGAGCCAAATGAGGTCATTGGTCAGGTGGTTTCTTTTACCAATATATATATATATATATATATATATATATATATATATATATATATATATATATATATGCTTATATAGGCCTAAATATAACATTTTAGCATAAAGCAGCAGTATCCAATATAGCAGTCAGTCATTGGGGTGTTTTTTTTAATGATGCCTCAGACACACACACACACACACACACACGAATACACACACATATTTTATCATCTGACTTTTTTCTCCGAGGAGGGGTGGACATTTGAAACTTTCGGGGGTGGGGCTAAATTAATTCTCCGAGGGTGGGTGGCGGACAGCGGTAAACGTGCTTCTGGGGGGAGGGGGTTGGTTCGGTGCTCCATAGAAGAGATGCCTGAAAGAAACACTGTTTATCGTACGTGTAAAGATGCTTAAAATGCTGACCTTGCTCAAATAACTACTCTGCATGTAGACAGCGTAGCTACAGGCGCAGATGACGTAGAGGAGAAACAGAACAAAGTGCCTCTGGTTGTAATGGCCGACACAGGACCCGGAGAAATAGCAGTGGTGGTCCCGTCTCAGCACGCAGTGCTCACACAGGGTGCAGTGGTGGGACCGGGGCGGGGCGTCTTGGTTACAACGTGAGCACCACTTCCAATCTGGGGAACAACAGCAACATTTAGAATAGAACAACAGCAACATTTAGAATAGAACAGCAACAACATTTAGAATAGAACAACAGCAACATTTAGAATAGAACAACAGCAACATTTAGAATAGAACAACAGCAACATTTAGAATAGAACAACAGCAACATTTAGAATAGAACAACAGCAACATTTAGAATAGAACAGCAACAACATTTAGAACAGAACAACAGCAACATTTAGAATAGAACAACAGCAACATTTAGAATAGAACAACAGCAACATTTAGAATAGAACAACAGCAACATTTAGAATAGAACAACAGCAACATTTAGAATAAAACAACAGCAACATTTAGAATAGAACAACAGCAACATTTAGAATAGAACAACAGCAACATTTAGAATAGAACAACAGCAACATTTAGAATAGAACAACAGCAACATTTAGAATAGAACAACAGCAACATTTAGAATAGAACAACAGCAACATTTAGAATAGAACAACAGCAACATTTAGAATAGAACAACAGCAACATTTAGAATAGAACAACAGCAACATTTAGAATAGAACAACAGCAACATTTAGAATAGAACAACAACATTTAGAATAGAACAACAGCAACATTTAGAATAGAACAACAGCAACATTTAGAATAGAACAACAGCAACATTTAGAATAGAACAACAGCAACATTTAGAATAGAACAACAGCAACATTTAGAATAGAACAACAGCAACATTTAGAATAGAACAACAGCAACATTTAGAATAGAACAACAACATTTAGAATAGAACAACAGCAACATTTAGAATAGAACAACAGCAACATTTAGAATAGAACAACAGCAACATTTAGAATAGAACAACAGCAACATTTAGAATAGAACAACAGCAACATTTAGAATAGAACAACAGCAACATTTAGAATAGAACAACAGCAACATTTAGAATAGAACAACAGCAACATTTAGAATAGAACAACAGCAACATTTAGAATAGAACAACAGCAACATTTAGAATAGAACAACAGCAACATTTAGAATAGAACAACAGCAACATTTAGAATAGAACAACAGCAACATTTAGAATAGAACAACAGCAACATTTAGAATAGAACAACAGCAACATTTAGAATGAATGTTTAAAACAGCAACATTTAGAATAGTTGTTTAACACAGCAACATTTAGAATAGAACAACAACATTTAGAATAGAACAACAACATTTAGAATAGAACAACAGCAACATTTAGAATAGAACAACAGCAACATTTAGAATAGAACAACAGCAACATTTAGAATAGAACAACAGCAACATTTAGAATAGAACAGCAACAACATTTAGAATAGAACAACAGCAACATTTAGAATAGAACAACAGCAACATTTAGAATAGAACAACAGCAACATTTAGAATAGAACAACAGCAACATTTAGAATAGAACAACAGCAACATTTAGAATAGAACAACAGCAACATTTAGAATAGAACAACAGCAACATTTAGAATAGAACAACAGCAACATTTAGAATAGAACAACAGCAACATTTAGAATAGAACAACAGCAACATTTAGAATAGAACAACAGCAACATTTAGAATAGAACAACAGCAACATTTAGAATAGAACAACAGCAACATTTAGAATAGAACAACAGCAACATTTAGAATAGAACAACAGCAACATTTAGAATAGAACAACAGCAACATTTAGAATAGAACAACAGCAACATTTAGAATAGAACAACAGCAACATTTAGAATAGAACAACAGCAACATTTAGAATAGATATTTAAAACAGCAACATTTAGAATAGAACAACAGCAACATTTAGAATAGAACAACAGCAACATTTAGAATAAAACAACAGCAACATTTAGAATAGAACAACAGCAATATTTAGAATAGAACAACAGCAACATTTAGAATAGAACAACAGCAATATTTAGAATAGAAAAACAGCAACATTTAGAATAGAACAACAGCAACATTTAGAATAGAACAACAGCAACATTTAGAATAGAACAACAGCAACATTTAGAATAGAACAACAGCAACATTTAGAATAGAACAACAGCAACATTTAGAATAGAACAACAGCAACATTTAGAATAGAACAACAGCAACATTTAGAATAGAACAACAGCAACATTTAGAATAGAACAACAGCAACATTTAGAATAGAACAACAGCAACATTTAGAATAGAACAACAGCAACATTTAGAATAGAACAACAGCAACATTTAGAATAGATGTTTAAAACAGCAACATTTAGAATAGAACAACAGCAACATTTAGAATAGAACAACAACATTTAGAATAGAACAACAGCAACATTTAGAATAGAACAACAGCAACATTTAGAATAGAACAACAGCAACATTTAGAATAGAACAACAGCAACATTTAGAATAGAACAACAGCAACATTTAGAATAGAACAACAGCAACATTTAGAATAGAACAACAGCAACATTTAGAATAGAACAACAGCAACATTTAGAATAGAACAACAGCAACATTTAGAATAGATGTTTAAAATAGCAACATTTAGAATAGAACAACAGCAACATTTAGAATAGATGTTTAAAACAGCAACATTTAGAATAGAACAACAGCAACATTTAGAATAGATGTTTAAAACAGCAACATTTAGAATAGAACAACAGCAACATTTAGAATAGATGTTTAAAACAGCAACATTTAGAATAGAACAACAGCAACATTTAGAATAGATGTTTAAAACAGCAACATTTAGAATAGAACAACAGCAACATTTAGAAGAGATGTTTAAAAGGGGCTTTTGTTTCTTTAAAAAAGTCGGTTACATTTTGTATTGTTGATGGCATGTGTAAATCACATCAGCTATTGTAAGCGGCATTCTTTTACAATAATTTAATGTACGACTGCTGAGGTTAAATGTTAGATGCAGAATAATAATCAATACAATTAATTTTTTTCTTATAAATAATGGCAAAAAAAGTTAAAAAATAATGTGATGATTTTTTTTTAAATAACATGCATTATGATTTATTATCTTTATATATATAAGTCTCTTCTGGGAGGCGCTAGAAAACAAGCTGTAAACGCGCTCCCTACCACCCCCACCCCTACATGGTCTGGTGAGCTGTGTTCACTCTAAATGTTTACAAGCAGAGCCGGGTTTAGTGACGACTATTAGGGGCAGATAATTTAGTTTGAAACGATTTTAAACGTAAGGGGGGGGGGTAACTAAGTGGAGTTTACTTTAACGGAGGTGGGGGGAGGAGTGGGGGGGGGGGGTATCGTCCTTAACGAGCTACTTATAGTGTTTTAAAGAAATATTTTCAGTGGCAGCGTTGGTAGTGTCGAATACACAAATTATGAATAACTGAAAAGTAGAAAAAACAACAACTAAATAGAAGCGTATGATATGCCGCGGGTCGGCTCGTTTCATATAATATGCGTTATCATTTATCGTTTCAATGTTTTTCAAAGTACCATTATATAGCCCCTATATATATATATATATATATATATATATATATATATATATATATATATATATATATATATATATGTAACTGGGGTAGGCCTAACTACCAGTTACAAATGATAACGAACGAGAAGCCGCGACGCAGTATGAAATCTGACGCAACCATAACAGGTGGCTTATTGGATCGGTCTGATAACAATCTCAAAGCCAACGCGTGCTATTTTGGGAAACGGTACGAGAAGTTTCAGAGGAGCTGTCAACTTTGATGGATGGGATGCAGATGTTTTAGTGAATCGGACGGTACGTCAGAAACTGCGACATTAGTATTCGGATACATCGATTACAAGTATCGATTACGGAAATGGAGACAAGTACGACTACGATTTCAAGGCATAAATAGGAGGGGACGGCAGAACTCGCTCTCTTCCCGTTTCGAGGCTCTTACCTCTTTCATCGCTCGCTTAGATCAGTCAGTCTGTGTGACTATGTCAAGTCGGTTATAGAACGGGTTAGCCGTATTGTGTTAAGGAGGATTATAGACATGTGGATTCAGTTATATGAAGCCTAGTGAAGGACTGTTAGGGGTCAGTTGATTCAGACTATTATTGAGAAGCATTCCTGTTGATTTATTGTGTTATTATGAAGCATTTCTTGATTCATGTAATAAAGGATCAATAGCGAACCTGCATCTTGAGTATCTATACTGTGGTCAATGTTGTCTAGAATGAGTGGTTAAACTCGTTAACACGTGGCACTACAGGCAATTAGGTCTCATTACATGTGGCGTTGCGAGCATGGTAACTGTTGGCTCGTTACAATTGGCGTTGTCGGCAGGATAAATGTTCGCTCGTCACAATTGGCGCTGCGATCAGGATGAATTCAACTAGACTTGCCGTTTAAGGCACCTATAGTCAACCTTGTGCATAACTGTGTTTAGTGTGTGTGTGAATTCGGACATTCAGGAACTGTGAAAATTGAGGAACGAGGAAAAATTTTTCATACACACACGGTAAGAAAGAACTCTTTTTTTTTTAGTACTTAAGGAAGAAAATGTCTACTCTGGACGAGAAGCAGACCCATATAGTGGTCCTACCCAGAGAGTCCCATATTAACAAATTTTACGGGGACGGAGATCCAACTTTAACCAACAGGTTCAGTGAAGAGGTCAAAGCGGCCTGGGCCTCGAGACATATGTCACCAGAGGAAAGATTAAGACTGCTGATGGGCAGTATAGGTGAAACGGTTAGGGCAGAGGTTAAGTGCCACGATAGGACCGTCCAATCAGATCCAGATAAGGTGCTAGATCTGATTATGGAGACCTTTGGGGAGAGACGGTCGGGAGTGCAACTGCTATCGGGATTCGTGGGCTTAAAGCAGAGAATGGCGGAGAGTGTGATGGAGTACTCACACAGGATGAACAGGGCCTTTGATTTGGTAAAGGGCAAATCACCGGACATTGATGTACGCCTACTGAGGGACCATTTCATCGAGGGGCTAGCAACCCCGATCTTAAGGAGAGAGTTGAAAGAGGAGGTCCA